GTTAAATTGATGTGTTTTGGTCCTACGAGTCCTAATTTGACAATTGAAAAGAATGAACAAACCCACAAGATAAGAGGAGGAAAAATGTGGAATTCTGCTATAATTTCGCATTTTTTTTACAGCAGTACATGAACAGAAAAAACTTTCCATTCAGCCAGCCGATTGTAGCCTGTAAAGTATCAAATGAAAGCTAGTTCATTTCCCTACATTTGTTTCCAAACAAGAATGTAAAAATATTCAGTGGTTTCATAGCTATAGCGTCTGGCGTATCTGGTTACTTTAGGAACCGAAATGTGATAAAGGGTTAACATTTTAATTGTGTTTTTTCTCACCATTTCCAGTGCACAGACTTTAAAAGAGAGAGAGAGGGAGAGCACACGGCAACCGACACATTGTGGGCGGCTGACTGTAGAAAAGGAACAGAGAATCACTGGGAAAGTTCGTGTTTTCACTTCATAATCATTTTATTTTTTTTACTACTTAAAATTTTCTGCCGTTGTTTGCTCAAGAGCAAAGGATTCTCTTTCTGATTTTCAGCCATCGGACTAATACCATTAAAATTTATGCAAAGGAACAAAATAAACCATAAAATAAGCCTATTTTGTTGCGAGTCATTCATTGTTTAGGCAGCGCTCATATTTTCTTAAGCATCACATCGAAATGCCATAAATATTTTTGGTCTTAGCACATAGCGATGATTTTATGCCTTCACCTTGCTGTACGCCAAGAACAACAAAAACGACAAAACCTGTGGGAAAACACGAACAATGTAGTGGCTAAGTAAAATGTTATGACTTCATAATCAACGAATTCAACTTGGTTGAACGGAAAATCGATGGCTGAAAAACATTTTACCTCATTTCCTGCACAAACTTATGGAAAAGTATTGTAGGATTTAAATGCGAAATTTTCAGCTTATTTATGCCAATGGCATTTATTGTCAATTCGCGGTTGGAGTAAAAACAATGAATTCCATTCAACGCTGTACACAATTCTGATTCAATTCGCACATTTTCGAGTCGTTTCTATGGAAATTTATGAAAAGATCCAACTGCTTCGATTATTACTTTGAAATGAAAAACTCTTATTGAAACTGAATCAAAGTAAGAAATTTGCAATCAGCTTAATAGGAAGTGTGGATTTCACAAACATTTTTACATTCCCAGATTTTACCGCCATCTACGATGAATACAAGACTCTCTTGTGGATATATATTTGTGTGCAGTTCAAATGAGTGACTAACACATGGACCCATTAACTTTCGTCTAGACTAATTTATTCATCTACGACTGTTTAAGTCCATCATTTTCGGCCGAACCTCCTAATTATAATGTTGAAATTTAAAGGTAAAACGGTTTTCAAACCAACGAAGTTAGCATTTTGCAGAAACATTCAGTCTCACTCGTTTGTCACAGTCTCAACGTTAATCGAAAGGACACAATATCGAGATCGTTTTCAGTATTTTTAAACTAGTTGTTGTTCCATCGTTGAAGTGTTATCATCGTGGTCCGTAGACTGAAAGCTGAATTCAACACAAAACACCATTCAAAATTATCGCACAAATTTAGAGAAGCAAACGTTGGCGATCATATTCAATTCGTTTTTTTCTGTTCACTTAAAAAAATCTTTGGAAAATCGCTAAAAGTAGAACACTTAATCGAGTGGAACTGTAACTGTGAGTAAACCATTTATTAACCTATTGGCAATTTCAAATATTCATTCCTTAAGTTTTTTTCATTTGTGAAACTGAATTTACAGATTTTTCACGTAAAAATGGAGTTCACACCAACCAACGCCGATGAAAAAGCTATTGATGAAAAGCCAAGAATGCAGACAAAGTTGACCGATGTTAATATTGATTGTCTTGAAGAAATTTTCAAGTACCTCGGGTTAAAAGAATTGCTAAATATCGCAGACACTTGCATACGATTGAGAAAAGTCTTTTCCTTTATTTTTGCAACTACATATCAGCCGAAGATATACATCACAGATTACACAGATAGAGGAAATGATTTTTCATCTTATTGGAGAACGAGGTATTATCGGAACTGTAAAAGTCCAACGAACTCAAAAACTGTGGAAAATCTGGGTGAAAAGGAAGAGCTAGACACATTGAAAACATGCTTGCAATTGCTTCGTTGCTTTGGGGAGAACATTATATTTTTAGATATTACCAATTTCAAACGGCATTCAATCACAAAATATTTTCCTCCCTTTGGTATCGATAATAATTTTCCTTATTTGAAAAGTCTAAAGGTTTGTGAAAACCGAGATAAATTTGAATGTGATGGGTCACTTTACGGCCCGCTTTGTCGTGCTATCCATTTGAATCCACAGCTTCGTGCCTTGAGCTTAAGATTCTTCACAGATTTAAACATCCTACAACTTGTCAGAGATAATCTTCCAGAGCTAGAAGAACTTGAAGTTATGATTGATATTAAATTCGCCCATATTTTACATGATAAACGGATCCATTTTAAAAATGTTAAAACATTTGATTTACGTAATAGTCTGTATTGTAATGCTGTTAACCATCGATTGGAGTCATACAATTTTTCATCAAATTTTGATTTTCCATTTACATTCGATCAGCTCAAACACTTTTCAGCTTGTTATGCTACTTTTGAATCCACCGACGCTATCCATAAATTTCTCAGACGAAATCGGTCAATTGAGAAACTAAGTCTAACAAAAAAAGACCTTGATAAGATAAACCTATCTGAATTGGCAGAAACACTACCAATGTTAGTAGATCTTGAAATATCAAGTTGGGTGATACAAGAAACGGTGTTTTACTACGTAGAGCAAATCAAAACATTAGAATCAATAACAATTATGAATTTAGATCAACATGAAATGGTGCATTTAGAATCGAACTTGGGCTGGAAAGCTAAGGTTCTTGAATTTGGACCCGGCAGTAGATATGACAAAGTTCAGTTTTCTAAACCATTAATTGTCAGTTACCCAAAATGAATGCCCTCTAAAATGCTTGGGAACAAGTAGAGATTTGATAGGAGATACGAAAAATCTGTTGGATCCAGCACACAGTTTAAATTTTTTTTCAAACATTCTATATAGAAAAACCTCGAAATCCGTTAGCGAAATTATTTGAAGAATTTATATTTTTGTTCTCATGTCCTATTTGTGTGAATACTGAAATATTTACGAAAAGAGCCAGCCTTTTAACGAGAACTGATAGTTATTGCTAATCATTGTTCATTATTTTGAATTGATGTAACCGTCTTGCACTCTTTTCCGGCCAAACCCTAATCCATACCTCTCTTATTTTCAGCCAGATCTTGGCGGTGTTAAAAAAAATAAAAAATAAATGAATAAAATAATATTTGCTGAAATTATGCCAAATAATCATCCGAAAGTTCGATGTGTAGTGGCTGCGTTTGACAGTCAACTGAATTCTGATTTGATGATTTTTCTACTCGTCATCGGGATGTATTTGCATGTGTCAGAAAAAATCCGAAAATATATGATATCTCTTTCAACTTTTTGCTTTTCGAGTTGAGAAGACTCCAAAGTTAATGTACAAGTGTAAAATACAGAAAAAAATCATATGCAATAATAATTATATTGATAAGAAAACACATGTGACATTTTAGTCACCAAACATAGTGAAAGGAGTATAAAGGTGCGGAATTTAATTTTGAAGAAATTTTTTGTTTTATATTATAGATTTAATGGTCGGAAGAGCATTCCTAAAGTTTCAGATAAAAAATTTCATGGAAAGTTATTTTTTTCCCCTTTTTATAATGAAAGTGACAAAAATGTCACCAAACACAGTCTTCTGGATAATAAAAAAAATTCGTCAAATAGTCAAAAAAAAACGTTTTCTTCATTTCATTCAAGAATATGCCACTTTTTCACACGCATTCGCCTCTCATCTCTTTTAACGCACGTGCCAGTCTGTAAGTGAGGTGTACTACAACGGTAAAATGATACGATGACCGCGTGGTGTAATTGCACCTGTTGTTATTGCATTTTTTTGTCACTGTCGTGCGTGCACAACTAGAGTATATTTTAATCAGTATAGCAACATCATTCTACCCAAGGGGCAATCCACTCAAAAGTAATACATAATACCTGCGAAGTAATACGAAGTAATACTAGGTAAAAGTGGTATTACTTTTGATAAAGTAATACTCCTTTTAAAAATAATACTATTGTTTGAAAAAAGTAATACTAAAGTAATACAAGGTAATATTTACATTAGTATTACTTAAAGTAATACTAATACACAGTATTACTTTTGAGTGGTTTGCCCCTCGATTCTACCCGCGAACATCTTATTGTCTTGTAAGTTTATCACTTAAATAATATTGAAATCGTACCATAAGTCTATCCAGTACGCTAAAGTTAATTAGTTATTCGTGTGAAAGTGATTTCTATTTTGATTAATCAATTGAATTGTATTGACAACGACGAAAATATTGATTTTCTTTGTCTTCTTTTCAAAAGAATTGGTGCAATGACTGCAGTATTCGCTTGGCATAAGAGAGGTTTAACCACCGCAATATCGTCCGTATCGTGGAACATTGATCAGGATCATGTTTTACACATTCCAACGGCCAATTTGGAAGGAGCACAAGAGGACCACAACGAAATGTTGAGAGCGTACCTCGGCAATGGTGGTTTTACATTAAGGAGAGATAATTTCGACATTTATATCCATGCCGAACGCAATGCGTTGCCGAAAATGTTCATCGGAAGTACGCAGATGAATCGTCGGAACAATATAGAGCCCGTAAACCAACTAGTCGAGGTAGCCCCAGAAGTCCTTAGTGGCAACGGACACCAAATTTACAATGCTACCGACTACTTCCTTTTTGGAACATTGGAAAATCCAAGCGACCGTATTATTACAATATGCTTTGAACAGGGAAACGCAGCATTCTCCGATTACATGATCAAAATTGAATTTATTCGCGCTAATTCATAATATTAATGGAATGATAAATATATTTATTGGCATTAAATAAAATAATAAATTTGCTTCCGAAAAAATTTAATCTATAATTTATTTTTCCATTGATGCACATCGCAATCTTCAAAGAAAATATAAGTAATATTTCTTCCGTTTTTTTTATCATTTCATTCTTATTGCCTTTCTAGAAATCATTCAATGCAATAATCCAATATAACACTTGTATCAGTTGTAACATTTCATTTTCTTTTAATCGTTTTTTTCTTGGTTCCATTTTTTTTGCTTGAATAATTGATTAGAAAAATAAACGTGGACGATTACATAGGATATAAATAGATAGTGGTTCATTTTGAAATCCAACATACAAAGGCAATCACAAGTATAATAGCCATTAAAATCATAGCGATGAAGAATTTCTTCTTTCGGATTTGATTGCGATAGTGACTAGCTTTTCGCAGCTGCTCGGTACCTTCCGACACAAATACACTGGTTTGTTCCACGGACTGTTCAATCGAGTCGATCACATTTCCTTGTTCGAATACTAACGCACCCAAATTCTTATAAATCTCATTAACACCGACGATGCTTTCCTGCGACCAAAAAGTTTCAAATTTAATCAGTAAATGAAGAAAATTGTGTGAAAGCAAAACGAATTTGACAGAGAGAGAGAGAGAAAACACAACTCACTTCTAATTCACGAATGGTTCGCTCTTGTTCTTCAAGTGCTTGTAAGTCAATGTCTTCTTGTAATTGGTTCTGCAGTTGGCCGCCTTGTTGTGGTGATGAAAATGTGTCCATGAAAAACGAACCCTTATTGCTATTGTTGCCCTGTGAGTTAGGCGGTTTTGGAATTGCCACATTGTTTGATCGGGCCTGTCGATACTGGCTCTTTGCAATGTCAACCGTTTTCTTCTGGACATTTTGAAAGGCAGACACTGCCGCAGCGAATTCATCAAGCAAACGATCTTTTTGAATTTTCAAATGACGGTCATCGTTCGAATTTACCAAATCATTCAGCATGCCTTCTGTGTCCTTGAGAAGTTTTTGCGTGTACGTACGCAATTGATGCCTGAAAAATAACAAAGCGCATTCATATTAGTTGAGGATGATAACATTCATATCTTTTGAATGTAAACTTTGATTTGACAGTTTTTCGAATAATATGTGCACATTGGAGTGAATCAGGTGGCTCCAAGAGGCACGGAGTAATACCTAGAGTAGATTGTACTATAGTAGTGCTACCGTGGTTCGTGTGTAGCCCATTGACTTTAGATATAAATTATAACAAAGAAATTGTTGTTTCAACTTACAACTGTTGCTTGTGATCTGGTGAATCTTGCGCGGTCCCAATCTGATTAACCATACGTTGCATAGTCGATACTGAAACAAAGGAAGGAAATATTGTTATTTTCATACGGGAGAGAAAGAAAAATTGCGTGCTTCTCACTCACCATTTTGGAGTATTTTCTGTATACTGGTGGCGATGGTCTGTGATAATTTCTGGAATTCAGCCTCACTGCGTGACGACTTACTGCTTGTCGAATACGACGATGAACTCATCTTAAAATCAGAAATCAACAATCAATCCTAATTAACATACGAATAAATTTACGAGCGAAACAAAAGTAACGAGCATTTAATTAATTTCGTTGTAGCACATGATAAAAATTCCGTCGCAATTAACAAAAAAAATAATACAAAGAAAGCGCTAATTGGCTTGGATTATTTTCCAGATGATTCATCGTCTTTATCACGTCAGCATTTGACAGTAGAGCGATTGTTTATGAGATATCTATCTTTTATCACGGTGCAATCGAATCGAATCTTAGGAAATTCAATCCATTGTGGCCCTACAATCAAATTGATACAAACATCATACACTCGAAGAGGGTGGATACAATTTTAAATCACATTAAAATCACTAATTAAATTCTCGTGAATCGCCTACGAAATGGACAGCTAAGGGAAATAGGTCGCAGACAGATTTCTTCGTACACAAAGATAATGTTCAATTAAAATCAAACTCAATGAAAAAAAAAACACCCAAAGTATGGTACAAAAACCCCATATCAAATCACTATGAAACGCATTAAAAAAAGCGAATGGTCCGAAAAAGAAAAAAAAACTCGCACAGATTTACACATACACAATGATTCATATGGGTAAATGGTGTTTTTACTCACTTTTTATTCTGCACTAGTTTTGTTTTACGTGTTTTTTTTTCTTAAACTAAATCTTCCCTCGCCCAATCCAATTCCAAATTCTTTCGTCTATTTTACTGCAAATGGGATGAAACCAATTGTACACCAAAATAAGTTCGACAACAATTGCAAAACGACACGAAAAAAAAACAATTTCGAAACGCAATGAAATAATATCCAAAATATCGCAATACAATTTATTTTCTATTGTTTGATTGTGTTTTTTTTCCCTTGCATCGCTCTGTTAATGACAGTACAACGAAGTAAGCAAGCACTTTGACCAGATTTTTGACATGTAGCAAAGCACACAAAGAACGACACAGCGAAGAGCTTTGCGCAGAACGGTAAGAAATCGGTTAAACGGTGAAATTGAATGAAAAAGGATGGCTGCACGTTGAAAAATATTAAAAGGATTGAAGTTTCACTTAAAATGCACTTGCTCCAATAAAATCTTATTTTCTTTATCAGTTTTTCTGTTCTAAAATGCATTTCATTTTCAGGTCAATTTTCTAATAGACTAATGCTGCCATCTCTCGTCATCGTGGCGAATCAATTCAAGTGCACCATTGACACTTTGAACATTTGAATGGCAACACTGGAATAAACAACAAAAGTTGCTTGTTTGCTTCAAAATACTTAACCTTTTGCATCTAATCGTCGGTATTCACACAGCAAATAAATAATCTTCGGCAGAGAAACGAAGCAAATTTGCACACATTTTATTTTAGGATCAACGGCACCAGATCTACAAATTGATAGAAAACGATAAAATTGTGCTGAAAAATGTCGTCACCAGCATTGTCGCCGGAATTATCCGAGAAAAATAAGAAATACGATCGTCAATTGCGGTGAGTAATCATGAATATCATTGCATGTTTTCCGCGAGAAAAAAACATCATTCTTTTCAACCTATTTTTTTATTGCTTTTTGTCATGTTAACAGATTGTGGGGTGAACATGGACAAGCACTTTTGGAAGCGGCTCAATTGTGTTTGATCAATGTAACGGCATTGGGTACGGAAATTCTCAAGAACATCGTATTGCCCGGCATCGGTGGATTCACGATCGTTGACAGCGGCATTGTCACCGAAGAAGATATCGGTTGCAAGTGAGTCAATTGTCACGATAAGCCATTGAAACCATCTCTAAACCATTTTGCACGTATTTTAGCTTTTTCTTTGATTCAAACTCGATTGGTCAGCCGAAAGCAAAATGCAGTATGCAATTGCTACAAGAAATGAATCCAGATGTTAGCAGCGATTACTTGGACGAAAGTGTTGAAACCATTTTAAGTAACAATCCGGAATTTTTCAATTCATTCAAAGTTGTGATTGCATCGTCGCTCAAGGAAAAAACATTGCTTACGCTGTCACGAATGCTATGGACACAAAATATACCGTTTGTGTATTGCCGGTCGGTTGGTTTTATCGCATCAGCTCGACTTCAGTACAAAGAGCACTTTGTCGTTGAAACGCACCCGGATAACAAACAAAGCGATTTACGTTTAGAACAACCGTTTGAATCATTTGAAAAGTATCTCGATGTACGAACCTTTCTCGTCATAAACATATTGACCCATTTTCTATGCGATTCATCATCATTTGTATTATGTATTTTTAGAGTGTCGAGCTCACACACAAAGTGCCGTGGATTGTAGTTGTTTATAAATTCCTAAAGCAATGGCAAGCCAATTCAGGCAAGAAGGTACCAAATAACTACAAGGAAAAGTGCGAATTGAAGAAACTCATTCAAGATGGTAAGTTGCGGTAATCATTTTGAGAAAAAAGTGCAAACTCGTGAGCTCATGCACTTATTTTGTTCTCAACATTTTCAGCGATTACAAAAGAAGAAGAAAACTACGAAGAGGCTGTGAAAGCGATCAACTCTTGTTTTGGTGGTGGTAAACCAACGTCGCGGCTGCAAGAGATTTTGAATGATCCATCATGTAATCAGCTAACTAAAGAGGTAACGCTTTTGTTTGTCAGTTCTTCTATGGACCCCATAGTATGGAGTCATCTGTTTCTTGTTCCCATTTTGTAAAACGAACATTTTCGAATCCAACTTTTAGTCCAATGTTTTCTGGATTTTGGTGCGTTCGGTGAAAGATTTCATCGAGCAAGATAATAATGGTTGGTACCCGTTGGCTGGAACCATTCCCGACATGACTGCCAACACGGAAAATTACATTAATCTTCAGAATGTGTACCGTCAAAAGTCGTTGCACGATGCTGACTTGGTGTACAAACGTGCCCAGCAACATTTGCGTGAATTGAACTTGTCCAGCGACCTAATCACTGACAAAGAAGTCAAACTGTTTTGTCGTGAGTTCAGCTCAATTGTGTCATTGAAAGGATCTTGCATCGCTGATGAATACGAGAAGCCATCGGTTAATGTTATTGCCGGCGAAATAGAAGGCGCACCAAATTCATTGATGATGATTTATATCGCACTTCGGTCACTGGACAAATTCGAATCGGAGCACGGCACATCGCCTGGTGACATTTACGTTGAATCGGACACGGCACGCATCAAGTCGATCGCATACAAATATCTCAGTGAATGGGGCATTACGGCACCGTTCAGTGATGAATGGGCACATGAACTCTGTCGATATGGCGGCGCCGAAATTCACACCGTTTCAGCTTTCATGGGTAAGTGTTCATGCATTGCATTGAATTTAATTAAAATCTAATGATGGTTTTTGTTTTGAATCATAGGCGGGTGCGTGGCCCAAGAAATCATCAAACTGATCACAAAACAGTACATACCGATCAACAATACATTCATCTACAATGCGATCACATCCGAAACGGCCGTCTTCAAGCTATAAGCTGTAAAAAAATCGTACGATATTCTCAATCACTTAACTAGGCGAGTCAAATCATGAAATGATGGCTGTTTATGGGAATGTTATGTTCCAATAACAAAATATGAATAAAATAAATTTGTTATTCACGAAATGTTTCTCTCTTTTCTTGTGTAGAACGATTCTTGAGTTTTTCCTCAATTTTTATTGAAATTGAGAGAAAGATTTTTTTGAAAAATATTTGCCTAATGACTTGTGTTGCTCCCAAAAAATCATTATTTTAATCAGCGTTTTCAAATCTCTTCCAAATTTTGAAGAGAATTTCGAAAATAAAGTCCATATGAAAAGTACAAATCAAACGGTATACATTAACAAAATGTACTCGAGTGACTCATTGAAATGTCAAACTTAAGACGTGTCTACATCGTCCATTGGAATGTTCATTCCGAAAATAAACAACGCCATCATTCAGTACCACCCGAGCGGCGTTTGTTTGATTTCTGTTGTCATTTATTAGTTTTTTGTTTATTTCGTTCTTATTGAATTTTGAATACGACGGCCAACTGAAATTTGTATTTTTAAAATTTTGACAAAGCATTAGAATTTTTGGAGCAAAATTCTCTAAAAATGGCTGCATTTCGTCATTTGATTACTGTGCCGCTATCAATTGCATCATTTGTTGGTGTTTTCTATGCGATCGCAAAATTGATGGTTTTCTTGTCGTTGCCCGTCAAAATCCCTATCCACCAAGTTTGGATCGTGAATTTGTTGGACGATTGGACTAAGCTTGAAACTGCCCTACTACCGCTGACTACCGACGCAATTTTGATTGTGCTCTTCATTTTGCCGCACAGTTTCTTGAAAAGTAGTTTCTTCAAGTATATCTGGGATCAAATTGGACTTACGTCTGCCTCCCGCAGTTTTTACAACTTGGTGACCTCAGCTACTCTTTTGGTAAGCGGTTGAATGAATTTTTATGAATGAAACTTGATTCATTCCAACCAACTGAATCTGTTTTAGCTTCTGACCCAAAAATGGGAACGCGTTCCATCAGCCACGTTATGGAACATCGATGTTGAATCGAGTCAAGTTTTCTACTGGGTGTACTTCACGGTTCATTTCCTCGCATGGCTCATCATTTATGGTGGTAGCATTGTTATGGATCTGCCGGAATTGACTGGCGTTAAACAAGTATGTATCTTTTATAATGCTCAGAGTTGAGAAGAAATCCACTTTAAATATTTTGAATTCAACAGGTTTATTACGACTGGAATAACTTATTACCACCTCTGAACTACAAATCGTATGAGCTCAATGTGCTCTATGAACACGTTCGTCATCCATCGTTCATTGGTTTTTCAATCATATTGTGGTTCCCAAACATCATGAGGTAGAAATAATCAAGATTGATTCAAAGAAGAATTTTCATTGAATTTTTCATTTCTCGTTTTGTTCATTCGCAGCCTTGATCGTCTTTTGCTGGCTATCCTCTGGACAACATACATGTTCATCGCATGGAGAACCGATGCTCGTGACGTCGCCTATCAGCGTCAACAGCTTGAACGCAAGAAAAACAAGCTTCTCAAGTAGCTTCACAGAACAACTACCTCATATACTTAATCAAACACACATAAACTGACCACACTAATAAGTGTTAGAGAAGTTCTCATCAAATTTTTGTGCACCATCTCACCTTCGTTTTTTAGTCAATGTAGTTGAACCATTAACACCCACTCATATAAGTTGAGACATTTTATTTTAATGTTTTGTCGTTATTCATAAATAGTCAATGAATCAATAAACAGTTGATCTGTTACACTTAATTTGATACAAAAACAAATGCAGTTTTATTTATTCTTTCTGTTTAAAAGAAAGCTAATTTTGAAATTGAACGATATTCGGATCGAATGGTTGTCCTTTAAATGGTGAGCCTTCAGCATCCCAAGCCTTTCTTAGTAGTTCCTGTTGTTTAATCTGATCCGATGTCGGTTGACCTGTTTGAAAAAAAAGGAATTCGATGGATTGAAAAATATCGAAAGAAAGTCAAAAATAATCGAAAGTAATGCTCTATTTCGACTGAATCGTACCTTTTAGTTTTTGTTGTTCATCGAATTGAATTTGATTTATTTGGGCCTGAGTCTCGTCGGAAAGTTCGTTCATTTGTCGGGAACAGTCGATTTTTTTGGTATCAATCTCCGATTCGTGTTGGAAGAGCTTCTTCCACCAAATTTCCTTTGTTTTATCTGGAACAATTGAATCAACATAAGGAAATTTAAGCATGTGAAGCAAAATTGAGTCTGCGTTGCACTGAACGTATTTCAAAAATCATCAATGAACAATTTAAACCATTGAAATAATTGTATTTACCGACGCTAATATTGAGTTTATTGCCACCGGTTATTGTCCACATGGCATCTGGTGCCTTACATTTGTCGTACAATTGGCCGCCAAGGACTTTAGTCCGCTCTCCGTCTACAATTGCATGTATGTCGATCGAGGTATATGTGATATTTACTTTGAGATTTTTTGATGTAACATTTTTCGACAGTCGAATGTGAATCTCTGAAAAAAAAAAAGACAATGTCATTTGATAAATCTTCTTAACGAGAATCAAATAAATTCGCTTAGATTGTCTACCGATTTCTGTGAATGTTTGACTCCAGCTGTAATGGGATTCCTCATGAAGTGCTCCATTCAAATAGTCGGATAGTTCAAAAAATGGTGTTTCAACCTTTGGCTTGACTTTATTTTCCGTTGATTTGTCTGTATCATCAGTGGTTTCAATTTCGACTTCATTTGCCGTTAAATTTGAAAAATCATAAATAACTTGATTGGTGCTATCCATTTCGAATTCTCAGTAAAAAAAACTATCAATTCTAAAAAAAAAAGGTTCCATGCACATCGAATAAACTGCTTCAAAATTGCTTTGAACGTCGTAATGTCAAAAGTGAGTGAATGTATACATGGAACAGGCAGCGCCGATCGACAAACAGTAAACAATGTATGGATATATCATCATTTTTGGCATGAAGTTGGTTTTTGCCACTCACAATATTCGCTTTGACAGCGTTAATGGCTTTGAGGAATATTTATTTATTTATTTTTTAGTTGACATAGCAAAATAAACGTTTCATAAATTTGTGGCTCTTGTACAGTCGACACTGAAAAATGGTTCTCGGCTGAAAAATAAAATCGAAATTCGATAAAATTTCGTCTAAGGTCTACACATGAATATTGGCCAAACCATTTCCGTGAAAGCATCGACTAATTAGTGCGACCTTTTTACCGCGAATTTCATAACAATGTTTCGATCAACGTTAACCACAACTCGACCAAAGGAAAAATTAATTTTGAACAAAGACACCGATAATTATGTGAGTGATGAAATCGTTCAGTATTTGTTGACGCATCAAATAAATGGTGTTCGTTTTTTGTATCGCAATTACAAAAAGGTGAGTAATTGATAAACAATTTGTGAATGTTATTACGAAAATGGTATTGACTAAGCGTTTATGCGGGGTTTTTTTTGTTTCAGCACAAATCAAGTATTTTAAACGATGAAGGCGGTTCGGGGAAATGTTTTCAATGTGTTGCTTTCTTCGATGCAATTTTCAGGGCGTCGACGTCCAGTCGAGTTTTAGTTATTTGTCAACGTAAACAGAATTTGGAACATTGGCAGTATCATATAGAGTGTTTTTTGAGAAATCTTAGCGCCACAATAGCCGATAATAAACGTGATACACAACAAGATCATGCCGATGAGGATACTATTAAAATTGCCTCACTGGATTATGTGTTGACACACTTTGCAGCATTTGCAACGTTGGAGTACGACTGTGTTATTTTGCAAGATCAACACACACAGATATCGGTGGATGTGTTTGAACGGCTGAAACAAATCAAAGCTACATGCAAAATTATGCTTTGCAGTAATGATTTAATGGTAAGACTCCACGGAACCGGGAGATTCTTCGAAGCTTGTTTAATGATGATACGTCTAAAGCTAATGCTGGCACTTTTCTTTCAGGAAAATCTAACGTACTTCTACGAAGTACTGAAGTTCTGTGATCAAACAGGGCCATTGACACAGAAAAATGGCTCAAGTCAAACGTTGACTCTCGACGAATTCAAACAGAAGTTTGGATGCAGTGATAAGAGTGTTCCAAAACGGAATATAATATTTAAACAAAAGAATCTGTTATTTGCATGCAAGTGAGTTGAATTTTGTTGTTTTGTTGAACTTATTGGGTTTGTAAACTGGACCTATTTCTAACATTTCCGTACTAATTTCACAGCGATTTCTATATGAGGCGACTTTGCAACCAGTTTGGCTCACAATTTCCCCCAATTAAGCCGGAGGATTTTCAAATCGACTTTGATGCATGGAAGGATGCTTCGGGTGACACTGCACCATTGAATTCAAATGCGATAGAGAACGATTCATCGCCCGTTGAAGTATTTACCAATCCAAATAATCAAACGGTTTCTACTGTGGCAGATGTATCGTTGCTGAACACTGCTCTCACTGAATTTAGTGATTTTGATACTCAAATGTCGCCGCTCATATACTCCGACTCAGAACATGGTGACGATGATCAGGATTTGCAACATGCTAGCCAGCGTACAATGACTCCAGATATTGCCTGCAATCAGGAGCATGCGGCCAAAACACGCGCATTAACCAGAGCATCTACTCAAAATAGTAGCAGATCCCATACAACGCCTACCGAACGAAATTTTCGAATAAATTTCGAACGAATATCACCGGGCAGCAAGCGACTCAACTATAAACAGCTTCCAATCAAAATCAATTCAACAAACCCTAGAGCCAAAACGTATTTATTCCGCTCAAAAAAACAACCTCAAGCTAATTCAACGGTGCTGACTGACACTGAAAGTGTGTCTCAGTTCATGCCGAGACGTAATACTCGCAGCACATCCAGCACATCTGATGTGCAAATTATCACACAGAAAACACTATCGCCAATTGTTATATCGACGTCAGAAGATGATCGTTCGAAAGCGCCTGTGGATGGACAAAACATTGAATTAAACACAGATACCAGTTGTCCATCACCGGATCTATTCAGTAGTTTTACTAGCGCCAGATCGGATGCTCTGAGTCAACAAGTGCTGAATAGTCAGGAGAATCAAGTTGAGCAGAGAAATGAAGAACAGAACGATACATTTCGTGAGGTTTTTGGTGAGCCTGACGAATGCGATGACATTGATCTCTTGTCAAATACCAATGTGGATATTTTTGAAATTACAAAAAATAGCGTGTTCGATAACGTTCTCTGTAGTGCGGATGATAAAATAACACCGTTGAAACGGTGTCAAAGTCTTCGATCGACACAGAAAAAATCAAGTCCAAGTATGAATTGTTTGAGTGGATTACGGGTCGTTTTGCCTCGCCTAAACAATCATCAAGTGGAACAAATTCAAAATGGACTGATGTCACAGACACAGCCATCGCAACAATCACAATCGTCGCCACAAATCCTTTCGACTTCGGATGATGTTATCGATTTAACAGCACACGAAACACAGAAAATTATTGAAATCAATTCGGACGATAGTGTGAGAAATCGTGAGAAAACGCCCGAATGCAAACAAGAACTGACACCATCGACACGTTCGTGCTTAAAACGGCATGCAGATGGTAGAGCTACTACTGACGAGCGACGCAAAAAATCCCCATATTCACGGCTTGGTTGGCTCACATCGTCGCGAACCTCACCACGAAGCGGTGATACGACACCACAGTCACGCCGGCGACTGGACAAATGGCGCCAACTAACTGACGAAAGCAATTTGAAAGCGGATGATATTGCAAAAGTTTCAAAACCACGAAATTTGTTCAAAGAATTTAAATCAAAATCAAAACCAAGCCAAAAATCACGACATGACATACCATCGACTAGCACCGCTCAGAGCCCGATCATCTTTTCGGATCAGGAATGAAAAAAATGTGTATTTGTTTGCATTGAAATTACCTTCAGCATCCTTCCGCAACCTATAGACTTGACTGTTTCGTTAATTTCCTTTCCCATTGTAATGCAAACCAATAATTTAAAACCAAGTATTTTTGTAAATGGAAATATATTTATGACTTTTTTTTATATTGAAGTACATGGTTTTTTCTCTGTGTTTTGTTGTTGTTAATTCTTGTTGAAATGAGCCGATAAATTTCGCATGATTGCTTTGCGCTGAAACTCCACTTCACGCCGGCAAACTGGACCGAATAATGGTGGACACTGATAGCTAACCATTTCAATGACGTAAGTATCGGCACCCATGCCCGCGAAGAGGAATTCACCCGTTGAATACACTGCAAGGCACAGATATGGTAACTATTCTATATTTGATTAAAATTCAACTGATTCGCACACTTACAGCAGTATAAACCACCAAAGAAGCATGTTCGATGATCAGATGAAACCGAATATTGTCCACGTTCGTCTTGATGCAATTTTTTCACTTCAAACTCTGCCTCAGCCACATTTATCCAGTATGGCCAATGTGAAAGTTTTTCCGTGTATTCCACGGAATACTTCCAGTGGTTGAAGTTGCCTTCATCTTTTGTGATCTTGAAACCCAATCTGAAGAGTGGAAAATGATCGAACGTTGGATAAGTTTAATTTTTAAAAGTCTTTTTTGAATCCCTCAATTATTAAGGAATAACCAATAATTATGGAAATTCTCATTTTCTTTTGTTTCTAATCTTTAAATTATAAAACATCAATTTCAACAATTTCGACACACACAAAAATGGTATCAACCATCCATAACAATTATTAATGATAATTATCAAACTGTTCTACTCACATGGTTGGATTAAGTAGGTGCATCTTGTGAAAATCAGCCACATATTCCCAAACCAATTCGGGTTTTGTATTTCGGATGATGACATCCGATTCGTATGTATTACGGCTAGCCGAAAAAATGAAGTAAACAACTAATAAGCCAATGCCTAATATGCTTAGATGGCGTTTATTCCAGCGTCTTGTCTGCATGTTTTTACTGATTTTCTTTCTTCAAGCGCGTCACAAAATTCGATCTTCAATCTTTCGTGGCTGATCACAATATGCAGCAAATAGTACGCTTCAAATGACTTGCAAATGATTATTTCGGTTTTTGTTAGTCGGACCGAATGTAGTAACTAACTCAGTTTATCGGTCAAGAATAATTTTATCGCAATTTGAAATTCTGAATGAATAAAATATACTGAAGATGGAAATGAGACGATAAAATCGGCCCAAGCATCCTTTTCAGATAAACAACAGTTGTAAAACACATATTCATTGAAGCATGTGTGGTTGGCTTGTGTTGTTATTTTACTGTGTCTTCGTTTCTAAAGAATTTTTTTCTCTTCTTCACACATTAGCACCGCACATACACATACAGCGAAGAAGAAAAAAAAACTGCTTAAATAAGCATATGTTTTTATTTAACATCGATCGGCTTGACTAATGATTTCCTCGTCGGAAATGCTGAGTCCAAATTGTTTGCATGTATTTATGGACAATTTAGAAAAAAGTTGGGGAATGAAGAATAAATTAAATCATTTTTTCATTTAGCAAAATAAATGAAATGAAACGAGAAATAAAAAACATTGTAGTCTACTGGAATATTCCTGTGAAACGTCATTTTCTTCTATTTAAAAAGCCGAAATGTCAGAAAATAAGTAATTAAAATATCCACACGTCTTGGCAACAAATTTTTTTTTTTTTAATTTCATTCCAATTTAAAAACCGTAGACATTTTCGAACGGGTTGCGTCTGAACAGAAACAAAATTAAAATGAATTGATTTTGAGCGCGTTTTGCAAACGACATTGTGTTGTTTTAAAAAATGTACGCTTGGCGCTTCTCGCTGTCAAACAAAGCTGAAAAAGCGAATGCAGCGCCGATTAGTCATCTGCCATTATGGTTGAATTTCATTTTCTTGATGTCATTACTCTATTCCATTCGCCATATATACATTGTAATTTCATATTACAAAAGATACTGACTGTCATTTCTTCGTTTTTTTTTTAATAATACGAAAACTTCACAGAAACCAATTCAATAATCGTATGGTGAAAAGTGTTTTTGAAGCAACAATAATTGAAAAAAACTAGTTGAATTTGTGTCGCGAGGAGCGAAACAAGAAACGAATAAAGTGCAAGATTGGCTGGAAAGTGAGAGAGAATTGGGAAATTAAAAACAAATACACACATCACAAGAAGGTCTATCGAAGGAAGAAGAAAAAAAGTAATTTACACTTGATATTTCTGTATATTTCTGTGTTTAAATACTACGTCGACTGTTGTGTTGCAATGATAATTTAATTTAAGATCATATCCCATATTTGATTAGAGTTGCTTGTAACATTGCTTTGCCAAGTTGGAGGAAAACTCAAAAAGAAAAAAAATTGTTTGTTAATGGAAGCAAGAAAGAAAAAGTCTCGTAACATTTTAGAATAGAGAAAAGTCAGTGACGATATGTGCTTTGTTGTGTCTGGTTTGTTGTTTTCTTTTTTCTCTCTTGTGTTCGCTTTTGTCCAAACCATTTTCGTATTGCTTTTTATATATATATATAGATGTTTTCTTTGGAAAGTGTGTGTTGCGTATTTTGCGCTTGACGTGTCGTCGTCATTTTGTAAATAAATCAGATCAATCGCTTTCGAAATTCAACTACAACCGAATTTTCAAGACCAACCATATTCCATTTGTTATTTTTTTCTTTTCTGTTGTTGTTTGTATGTGTCCCGGATTGGCTTTGTAATAATAAGACGAGAAAAAAAGTGCTGTATTACACATATACACACACGTAACCGTTTTGATTTGATTTCCGTGAAAAAAAAAAAACTAACTTTAATCGAGTTATCTTCTCTTTTTAATTTTTGTATATATGATTTTTATCGTATACTTTTCTTTTTTTTTTCATTGTGTTCTTTTCCCCCCTTTAGAATCGGTTGTGGCAGCCGTCATCTCGTATACATAAATATTGACCTACCTGCTATCGTTTATTTATTTTCATATATATACATATAAAATTGTTATCTATAAAGTGTGTGCGTGTGTATGTGACGGTTGTTGCTCGCAGAAATTCCATAAATTGCGGTGATATTATACAAGAATTCAAATCACAGTCTGAATGAAAGAAAAAAAGAGAAATAACAGCAAGAAGAAAAGGACAACAACAAGAGAAATATTAATTACTTTGGTCGAGCTGAAGAAGAAGTTCTACGGCATATATATTCTTGAAAGTGTGTGAATTGTGTAAAATAGAGAAAAAAAAATCAAAACAAATCAATAATTAGGACACGTACATTGAAGAAACATAAAAAAAAGAAACAAGAAAGTAAAGGAAACAAACCGAAAAAAAAGTAACACAAGCGGCTCAAGAACCGAATAGAGAACGAAAGAAACAGAAAAAAATACCACACCGAATACAATCAAAACAAGTACAGTTATTTGGATTTCAACTAGGATATTACTATTGTAGCGACTTTTTTTTTGATTTGGATCGAATCGATAAAAGCGGTCAACAATTCGAGCAGAGAGAATAATTCGAAGCATATTTTTTTTTGTTTTATAACGTGAAACGCATTTACACAACAACGACTGGATATCGAACCCCCAATTTTTTATTTCACTCACTCTTTCTAATTACTCGAAAATTGGTTGAGACAGAATCGTATTGTTTTCTCGTTCGTTTGAGCTATAAATTCCAAGAACGTTTATTTTTGGTATATTCATTTAACTTCATCTGACTTTTCATTTTTGATTTTTGAAAAAACAAATTGGTAAGTGGACGTTTTTTTTTCGTTTTTTTCTTCATTGCATTTGATTTAATCATTTTGATAATGCTATAATTCAAAGTAACTTCTTGTATTGATTATGATTTATTGTACTGTGACAACAAATTATGTGTGTGTATGTGTTGATTGAAATTTCGCAATGACAAAATAAAAATGATACACAAAACAAAAGATCCAAACGATACGGAAAGTTGTTCTGCGTAAATCAATACAAAAAAAACAAACAAAATAATCATAAATAGATGAAAGCTTTTGTCTGATTTTGCTATCATAAACATCAGTTGCAAATTTTGCATACATTCATTCATTCACACACAATTTTCGTTTCTTTTTCTTCATGCAGTCAGAATGCATTCAGTTCAATTCGCATAGAAGGGGAGCAAATTCACTTTTAAAATCATTCGAAAAGGTACATTTTTTTTTTGAAAAAAAAGAGCAAAAGTTCATGTTCAGTACAGAAATCGATAAAATTATATGTATACACCGGATATCTCTTAAAATCACATGCCTATTTTTTACCCATTGCTAGACATGCACGTTCATTTTCGCACCGATTTTTCTACGTTCGAATTTTGCTCGTCTGCACACACTCATACACATACCAACTACGATCATAGGCTTACTCATTTCTTTTAACCATTCGAAACAGACAATTCAAACAAACGGAAAAAAAATGCGCGCTACAATTTTTTGAGGCAGTGATCAAGCGCAATTGAATTGGATTAGCACATTGGCCGCAGCGAACAAGTGTATCATGTACTTGAATTTATTTAAGACGATAAAGATACAAATAACACATATTACCGTGATAAGGTTTCACAACAATACGAAAGAATCAACAGAAACTGAAAGCGAAACAAAATAAAACCGCAACAATAATTCCGAATGCTATTTTTTCTGCTTTCGATAATATTTGCTACCGAGAGAGAGAGAGAGAGAGAGAGAGAGAGAGAGAGAGAGAGAGAGAGATTGACTAATATTTGTCACTAAACCATGACTTAGTCAATTTTATTATTATCGTGACATGATGTGTACGATTTTATACGTTTCGGTCTTTCCTCAAAACGTATACAATCAGACGACAACTTTGTTTTTCACTGATGAATGAACCCTGTTCGTGAATCAACAACAATTTCCTCACATTTCGTTATAATCACTTGGACGCCGTGAATAATTGATGAATCTTAATTCGATATCAGTTTATGTGCTTCCGAAATGTTCACATTAGTCTGCAACATATATCACGTGCATATTTAATGAGGCACTTCGTTGTTGTTGCTTATTTGAACAAGATTGTAAATTCCGTCTAATTTGCTTATTTGCAATGGACAGCACATGGCTGAAACTCTTATTCAATTCTGACTTGTGTGTGCGCGTGCGATTTTGATTCAGTTGCGTTGATTCTAGTCAAATATTCAGAGAATTTTGCGCTGTGACGACAAATTCAATTGTATGACATTCTTAGTTGAAATTCATCAAAATTTTGTTAGACAAACGATTTTTCTTGCTTTGAACTGACCCATATCTAGCAATCATATCTAATGGATCATATCGCATTTCAAATTTGGAAATATTTCCAGCACATGATTGAAGGTGCAAAGTTTGAATCATCGGTATCAATTTCCACAAAAATCAATTGTTGATCATTGTCAGATTGATCGCCGTAGAAGAATGACAAGAAGAAAAATATGACTAATGATTCAAACTCATTTCAATTCCATTTGTCGACCATTTCCATTTGTAACGACAATAAAAGGAAAAAGAAAATTCATTCAAAACGCAAATATTTTCGCAAGACATTTTCCATAAAGTAAAACGATAATGCGGCTGTCATAGCAAGCAGCTATAAAGAAGAAGAAAAGATAAATTCTTTTGTGTTGTTTGTTGTGACGAAGAGCGTCACAGTCCCGAGTTTATCGCTCTTTGTTTTAAAAAGAAGAAGTGTGTGGTATTTAATTGATTTCACTTGAGAACCGAATGCGGATTTTCCCATCGCGAGCGACAAAGAGTGAGCGAGAGAGAGAGAGAGAGAGAGACCGAGAGAAAACTCGATATAGGGAAAAATGGAAAGCACACACTCACACACAATTCAAAGAGTAAAAAACCCATTCGACAACAGAAAAAAAGCAAAGCGACAAAGAATGATGACGTTGCTTGGCTCGTTTGTTGGTTCGTTCGTTCTATTCGGTTTTATTGAAATTGTGTGACTGGCTGGTAAAAATGTGTTTTCCTCGAAAATATACAAACGGCTAGCCTTAAACTTAACAGGCAAGCAAACAAGCAAAGCGAACGTGTGTGTTTATATGAACGGTTCATTGTATATATGATAATTGACATTGATAATTAAATTAGACTCTTATTTACTTGCGTCATAAACAAACAAAATCTAAACGGATTCATTGCTCGCAACTGAATACACATTGAACGTGTTTGTGTGAATCTATCCATCTGGATGGCTATACTAAAAGTGTCTCGAAAAATGTGTCTATTTACTTTGTGTTCGATAGACGTAACGAGTCGACACAATCGATGGGGAAAAAATAAGTTTTTGGCAAAATAGAGGTCACTCAGCTGGTTTTATTCCATTGGTAATGAGCGATAAAAATGGCAACTAATGATACTGTATCATATTGAATCGGTGCAGAGATTCTTACAAAAGAAAAAAAAAAGAGAGAGAGAATTGGGAGGAAATGCGACAATTCTGCATAGGAAAACCGATTGTTAAAACAAACAGAGAAAAGAAAACATCGGACTAAAGCCCGGTGCAGCCGGTTTGTGAGCTCGTTGTGTGTACCGTTGTGTCGGGGCATTTCATTGAGTCGTCTGTTGAGACAGAAGTATATGCACATACCACACAAAAAGCGGTAGGTCGACTTAATTCCAAACGAAAGCAGACTTAGAAAGTCGAGCTCTTTATTTATATTTTGAATGACGCGGCCAATGACGTTACGTTGCATTATGGACACTCAATGTATCATCGGTAAATGAATTTCGAACGATGGCAGCAACCACTCTTCATTCTCTCTTTCTCTCTCCCTCTCACACACAAATGAAAACACATTCAAAAACACGAACTAAACAGAACAAAACAAAAATATCATCGTATAATATGTCGGCATTCTATTGTGGAATGAAGTTGTTCTGTACGCGCATTGCGTCAAATTATTCATGTCTCGGGCCTCTATAGTCAGACTTAAAGCATGTTAATATATTCGACGAGAAGGTAGCAAAAGAACAACCTGCATATATGTACAACGAATTTGTTCTGAGAAACGATTTTCATGTGATAGTATTTCAATTGAAATACAGACATAATTACAATAATCGTTTAAAATGCAACGGTTTGCGGTAACGTCTATTACACCTTATTGATTTTTGCTCATCTCTGTCCCTCTCAATTCTCTCGCAAAAACGGAGAAAAGAGAATTTAAAAAAAAATTGACGAAAAAAAGTCTGTCTCTCGCTCTTCTTCCATGTTTTCGTTTTACATTTCATTTTTGTAATTTTTTTTCTATCATAGTTTTCCAACAAATCTTCATTATGTTCTGTAATCAACCGAGCCAGAGTGAGAGATACCATGGTCGGCGTGAGCATAAGTGATTAAGAGTGTGAACCGTGTTTTTTTTCTGTCGTACTTTTTTGATTTGGCTCCTGTTGACATTTATTTTTTCAACAATAATTACGATAACGTATGGTGAAGGCACGTGCAACGCCACACTATCCATGTGTTACGTATAGTTCATAATGGTCTAGCCGCTTGTTTTCGTTAAATCCTCTTGCATTTTCACATTGAATTAACCGCGGCGCACCAAATCTCTCACTCTTTTTCTCCTTGAGTCATCATTATCGAAGAGCATTGGTACGATTAGTCGGTGTCGAAGTTGGCAAAAGCAGGTGTGTAAAAAATAAATCAAGTTCGATCGACAGTATCCGAATGGAGACAGCACAACAACAACAACAACAAAATAAGAGAAGAGAGGAGAAAAAAAATAGCAAAACACAAAGCACAAACAAAGAAATGTTAAGGAAACAAATGCACTGAAGTGGTTGGAAATTTTCAGGGCCGTTCGCCTGTAAATGACTGGATATAGAAATTCTACGGCTTCCGCTACATATCTTTCAATTCGAATTATTTGTTATGAATACCAAAGTAGTAAATACACGGAAACCAAAAGAACTCCACTAACGAAGCATTTGTGAGTGAGTGTGTGAGATATCTATCTACTAAATGGCACACCAGAAAAGAAGAGAAATAATGAACGAATATTGAAGAAAAAAATACTGAACGGAAGAAATGAAAGAAAAAAATGAACACGGAGAATACTCTCTTTCTCTCTGAGCTGAACGAGTGTATATGAGTACCTAACTCATAGTCGCAAACCATTCAACATATGATGCATACGGAATGCCCAAAAAAATAGGAGGAACGAGTCAAAGACAACGAAATCGACGAAAACTCATGCATATACACAGTGTCTTTTGCGTATTTGGTTGTTTCGGGACGAGAGAGAGAGAGCGAGAGCATACAAAATAAATTAAATTATTTACTATCGCTCTGGGTGCGCTCGCGATAGAGTAAACAATGCACAACAGTTTTGTGCTCACAGTATCCTAAGACTTCGTACACACACAACGAACACACAACGTGAACCATTTTTTTTTGTTCGTTGTTTCTCTCTTTCGTTCGAAAACACCAAACACGATATTTACATCAAAACATTTCTCTTGACGATATTTCAAAAGTCAGTACTGAAGCAGTGTTCAGTGTTGGTTTCGAGCATCAATTCATTTTTCAGGAGTGCAACACATTCCGTATCAACCGTGTTGATGTTCTCGAATAAATTTTGAGAATTTTGTTCGTTTTCGTTTTGATTTTTGATTTTTTGTTTTTATTTTGCTCGAGTTTTTAATTAGAAACTTTTTATTTTGTTGCTACTGTTGCTGTTTTGTTTGGTTTCGTGTGTATGTGTGTGAAGTGTTTTTATTAGACGGTGTTTTTTCAACGAATAAATAAAAAGTAAATTCGGTATGATACACCGAGTGTAGACTTGAATTGTAATCATGAATCATGAACGATCATATGATGCTGGCTGATTGAATGCGCACAGTTATGTGTGTTTGTATGCGTTGTATTTGGTCATTGTCGTAATATTTTTGGAACGCGGCTCACACTCACTCGCTCACATACATAGTGTGATATTAAATGCCGACCGAGTTCGATATCAAATGAAATGATAAAGACAGTTTTATAAATAGAAGCATCTAGAAATTGGAATGGCATCTGGTTCCATTGGAAATGGAAAAACCTCCGCCGAAAAAAAAAATGCTGTTATTACTGCACACAGCCGACGAACGAAAAAAAAACAATTCTGTTCATAGCAATTTGGCAAATGGGAGGGGAAATCATAAACATATCTAATTTTCTCAGCAGTAAGCTTTGCATTTTCGACGAAAATTCAAGCAACGAATTTTTGTTTTCTTTGCTTTCATAATTGAGAGTGCACCGTAAATGTATGTGTGCCGCGCTCACTTTTATCTCGTTATCTATATGTACTTGAAAGTATTTAAATTGAATTTCACGCATCACATCGTAATTTCTTTGAGTTGATAGTATAACTCAGTCACGGACTGTCTGTCTAGTTTTAGCCCGTTAACAACAATAGATTGAGTGCTATCAATATACATATACATAATATGTACTCGCGAAAAACTTGAACGACACGAACGAAATATAAACAGCAGCGCCACTGTTGGTGTTGGTTGTTGTTTTTTTTCGGCCGTACGGCAACGAATTCACCATTGAATAGTTTCACGTTTTCGATCGAGCAACGAAATGAAAAGCAAAATTCCATCTAGATACCATACTTTTTGTTTTGTTTTGTATTTTCTTCTTCTTCTCCGCTCTCTGCAAACATACATTTCAAAAGCTTCTCACATTCAATGATATTAACTTGAAGAAGACACAAAACAATGTTCATTTTCACATTCATCCAATGAAATTGCAATCAATCAAATAGTTTGCATAAAATTAATCGTATCAATAAATGAGAAAGAAAAATAATATCGCCGAGAACTAACAAAAATCCGCTTTTTTCGATTATTTTCCAGTGAGACGGCAAAAAGACGACATGCAAGTTAACGTGGCAGGGATTCGAAGAAATATCAAAAACTTAGCGCACAATTACTCGGATCCTCAGGTAATTATCGTAGGCACATTTTGAGTGATATTGAATTATTTGTCATTGAATCGTGATGTTAATTTTTTGTTTCTTCTTCTTTCATCGCTGGTCATCGTCATTCAGGTCAAAGTACGTGAAGCAACATCGAATGATCCATGGGGTCCATCAGCAACGATAATGGCTGAAATAGCCGACCTCACCTACAATGTGGTCGCATTTTCCGAAATAATGCAAATGATTTGGAAACGATTGAATGACCACGGCAAGAATTGGCGTCACGTTTACAAAGCACTCATCTTACTCGAGTATTTGATCAAGACTGGCACCGAAAAAGTTGCTCAACAATGCAAAGAAAACATTTACGCAATACAAACATTGAAAGAGTTTCAGTATTTTGAAGAGGGAAAAGATCAAGGTTTGCATGTACGTGAAAAGGCCAAAACATTGGTGTCGTTGCTAAAAGATGATGAACGCTTGAAAAACGAACGAACCAAAGCGTTGAAGGCAAAAGAGCGTTTCGCTCAACATGCCAGCGGTTTTGGCAGTGATGGTTCCATTGATGGTCCAACGCTAAGCCATCGGGATAGCCCATCTTGGCGCGCCGAAAGTGAAGCATCACGATCTGCATCCGAATTGGAATATGTACGTCCTCAGACAGTGGGCGAGGAGGAGCTACAATTGCAATTGGCGATGGCAATGAGTCGAGAAGAAGCCGAACAAGAGGAGGCCAAGAGACGCAGCGATGACGTTCGATTGCAACTTGCTTTGAGTCAAAGCGAACAAGATTTTAAGTGAGTTTTGACTAACAAAATAAAATGTATTTCGTTTATTTTTGCGCTTTTGTTCATGCAAATTAATGGAACTGATTTTTTTCTTTCTTGTGTCTATAGAAAACAAGGTATTGATCCAACGCCTCAACAGAAGCAGGCACATGCAAGCCATTTGATGGATTTGTTGGATATTTCATTGGGTGCTGCATCGATTTCAGGTCCATCGCAGGCGAGCGATCCATGGGGAATGCCAATCTCAGATCAAAAACCAGTATGCAACCATTCAATTGGCTAAACGAAATCTCATTTTGTATCACACATTTTTGAGAATTGTCATTCTGTTTTACAGGCATCGGATCCGTGGGGTCGTGCATCGCCAGCAACAGATCCTTGGAATACAAATACTGGAGCAATTTCAAGGCAACCACCGATTCCATCGCTAGCCGGTGCTAGTAATGTCGAGAACTGGGTTGCTCGCAATCATTCACCATCGGTTGCATCTGGATCGTCCACTGAAGATTGGTTGCAACTCGATCATCGACTGAATGCTGCTGCTGCCGCTGCCAATGGCAACGGTAACGGCAATGTAGCATCGAATGCACCGCCATTGAGCGATCCATGGTTGTCGAAACAACATAAGCCCGAACAGCCCGATCCATGGTTGACCAAAGCCCCAGAAACAAATGCGGATGCATGGCAACCATCCAAATCGGCTGTCGTTGACCCTTGGGCACCATCTAACATAGGCGTATGTATTCCTTGTATTTTTCGAGCTCATTTTTGAAATGCAATTGAAATAAGCCAATAATTTTCTCTTTTGCTCTCTGTGTACAGTCTCGACCATCGCCAATCGGTGCGCAAACATCGCCCAACTCAGACTATGACGAATTTGATGTGATATCCAACAGAGCAAAAACTCAAAATCCTAACAACAACAATAACAACAACACTAGCAATGGTAAGTCATTCATTTTGAAGCAAAGCATTTTCGCTCTGCATGCATAATTTCATTTTATCGCAAAAATAAAATCGGCTCCTCTTTCGGATATAAATCAATAGCTTTGCTCGATGAGATGGATCCATTAGCCGCAAAAAATAATTCAACGAGAAAAACACCGCAGTCATTCTTGGGTGAAAATTCGGCTCTGGTAAATTTGGATCAATTAATCAAAACAACAAATCCAACGAATCCTGGACAAGCGGCCTACAATCCATTCGGTGATTTGAACCAACCACCAAAAACAAATCTGTTCCAACAGCAAATGCAACCGGTAAGTTTTCGATGATAAACATCACCACATATTGAGAACTGGTTTTGTTAAAATTGGGAATTTGTTTTTGTTTTTCATTTCTTGTTCTGGATATTACATGTAATACCTGCAGGTTCCGTCCATCAATCAGCTAAAGCAAAGCCCATTTCCAGTTATCTTAAGCCAAGATCCATGGGCACCAGTGAACAATAGCAGTCAGGTAAGGCAATCAATTACACCAGCCATTGTGCAATACATGGATTAATATGGATCATACGAATTTAAACATATATATACGTTTCTGCTGCCTAAGCTTATTAACTAACAACTAATTTGTGAGCGGCCTAAATCCAAACACACACATACGAAAAAAAAAGCAGCGCCATAACTATTTATGTACATAAAATCGTTTCTCTAATTGTTGTTATTTCACCTAGACGAGAAAAAAAAATCCGTTTAAAAAAGCTCATACAAGTACCATGTCTAATATCTATTTAGGTGATTTTCTTCTTTTAATGAGTATAATTGAATTATGATTATATTGTCTTATGTATGCCACAGTACGCCACAAATGTTGATGGGCATAATACAACACATGATGATCAATACGATGCGAACGCAAACTACGACGATGTATTTGATACGAAGCACGTTGTTCAAGCCATCGAAGATATACACATTACCACTAATCCAACTTACAATAACAATTACAAGCTCTATTACGATGACGAATACCATGACTTCAATCAAATCTCCCAAAAATGCGTTGACAATGAACGCGTGAGTACAATAACACACTGTCCACACGACAAAAACAACAACAACAACAGCAGCCAATTTCAGACTAATGCCAAAGCCACATACAACACTTGTCGCAAATTTTTTAGCATCATTCATGGTTGATTTCATTGACATTCACAAAACATATGCGTTTTTCATCGAATTCCAATGTCGATCGATATGTATATGCTCTCTCGCTCAACTCGTATCCAACAACACCATTTTCAGAAGTAAAAGTAGACAGAAATATTGAATTGTAGAAAACATTTAGTGGCTATAATGTGTACCATCAAGCAACATGTTCACTGTGTATATATTTATTTTTTTTTTGTCACTCAACACAATTTTTCGTTGTCAATTTCATTTGATGCCAATTAAAATTAACAGCGAACAATGTGTGCACTCTGTGTATTTGTTGCAAACTCATTTGAATATGATTTCATCTTTGGCCACCAAACGTTTCGCTCTTCTCAATCTGCCATCATTTTCCCCCGCCTGAATTACATAGTCGAAAATGAATCTCTACAATATGGTCACATTTTGTGCGATTTGCTCAATATTTCATGGATTCGAAATAGCCTCGAAATGTACATAAAATATAGTCTCATCCACGAAGACGAAAAAAACGAATTGATTGAAATGTTTCAAATCAAATCGTTTCATTACGTATTGATTAGCTTCAATTTGATAAATAAAAAAAAAACCATCGCCGTGAAGCAAATCAATCGAACCTAATCAAAACATGTCCACTTTGTATTTTTCGTATTAAAACAGCATAACAGGGAAGCTTGGACGCTTAAATAGACAAAACAATGCCATTGGTAACTCTTGCAAATCGATACACATAAACACACAAATAAAGTGAACTTAAAACACTTCATTATCTTTGTTAGGTATTGTTGAAGCCCATTTGTCCATTTTTGTCACCATTTTCTTTCATTATTTTTGTCACCCGATCCAATCATCTATACAAATTTTGCAATTATCTTCTTTATTTGCCCATTATCCTTTTGCATTGTTCCATTTTATGCACTCTTGTTATCCATTCCGTTTCACATGAATCGTTGATACAAAAACGTTCGCTTCGGTTTCGTTTTGTTATCGCTTGGATTTTTTTCACTCTCACATTTATGTTTTCTGATTTATCTTCCGTTTGGAATTCAGTTAATTCAATTAACACTTTAATTAGTTTTTTTTTTATAGTTTTTACCCATTTTTTTCAAACTGAAATAATTTTTTCGGAATAAAGTGAAGAATGATTTTGGGGGAATAAAGAAATTCATGAATATTTTTTTTTTTTTTGGCTTTGTATTGACAAATTTTCAAAAAACTAAAAAGCACCGCATATTGAAATTGACAATTTAAACCAATGTTCACAAGCTATAAAATCGATCTTCATTTTTATCCGAAAATTAATTCAGTCTGATTATTTTTTTTTACTTAAATAGTGGATGCAATTTGATGTGTAAACATGACTTTTGAACAAAAAAAAAATCACTTCACACTGCAGCCCAATAAAATACCGCCAATCATTTGTGACTTAGCTCTGAAATGATGTTTGTTTTTTTTTCTTCACTTTTTTTCAGAATAATATAACCAATAATAACCGAAACAATACGACCGGTAACACCAACAACAACAACAACAACAATAATGCTGCAGCGTCCTGGCTCAATCCAGAAATGGCCGCATCCAATCCATTCTTATCGTAAACAGACATAAACAAACTATATAACAAACAAAAATAGAGACAAAAGAAAATAAATCGTCGATCGAATTTGTGTGCATCGTTGTTATTTTATATTAAATTGTTGCCAGAATGTTAAAATTAAAATCAATTTACAAATTGTGCAGTAAACCAATTAGAGGGACATACAATAAATGAAAACCTATGATGAGAATGCATGCGGAGAGGGAACGTCTGCCTAATGTATATATATTTAACAAAAAGAAGAAATGAGAAAAAAAAAAAAAGAATTTGAAATTTATATCGTAACAGAAATTATAGAAATGCATGAGATCATTTAGCAAGCAAATCAGGCAATAAAAAAAATCCGATTGTTTTTTTTTTCAATATCAACACTTCATTTGTCGTATTTATAAATGGCTATTCCGAACGAAACAAACAAGTAAAAAAAAACAAACAACCAACTATACAAATTGATACTTAGCATAAACGTACCAGCTTTTCATAGTGGTAACATGGGATTTATTCAGCATTTTCAGCATATTTCATAGACTCGTTTTTTGCAATTACTTTTCTTCAATTAAAAAAACAAAACAAAATATAGACGATTGGTGGTCGAGATTTTTCCAACTTGAACCGAGTAATAGTTACACCGCATTAGCAGAAGCTCAATATACAAAATCAATTTTATGCACCTAAAATAAACGAGTGTTGAATTTTTCCGTTTTTCATCGTGCAAAATGAGAAAACCGACCGTCGTAATAAATAAAAACAAATCAAGCAAAAAAAAAAAATTAATGAAAAATTGAATTAGATATTTACATCTTTTTTACAATGGAAAAAAAAAATTAAACAAAAAAAAATTACAAAAAACAAACCGAGAAGTGAAAGAAATAACAGAAGAAAAAAACATACATAAACATGTATTTCTACACGAATATTATTTATATAGACATTGCCTTAATACCATTTAAAGTAAAAAAAAAAGAAAGAAAAGTTTTTAAAATGAAAACAAATTGTCCAACATTGATGGCAGATTCTAACTAAACGCGAGTAATACATTTGCTATTTACTTCATGTGAAATATGCATTGACATTGTGTTTTTTTTATCGTCGATTTTTAATTGTTCTCCTATTTGTGTGAATAACGAAGAAAAAAAATAATCAGAAAAAAACACACATACATACAAAACAATGTAGAAGAAACAAAAAAAACCGAATTACCGTTCAATTGATGTTCTGTAACATTAGTTTTCCATCAAATGCACCGATTTCATATTTCTTGTGATTTTTCTATTGAATTTATTCGAAAAGTATTCGGAAATGTCTACATTAGCATTTCCCTTCCTAGCAACCCATTTATTTTCCGTTTCTCCTGAACGATGAATACGCTACTTTGAACACAATCAAAACATTTATTATATTATTATTATTATTTTCATTTTGGATTCTTTATTTCATTTGGTTTTGCTTTGTTTTCGTTCGAGTCAGCGATTCCAATTGAAGAAACTACATACAGCATACGTATACAACTTTTTTTGTGGATGGACACTGAAACTAAGATTTACTATATTTTAAATTTATTGCTATTATTATTGTATTATTATCTTACTAACATTTATTATGAACGGCTACGTGTTAAGGAAAAGAAGAAGATTTAAAAAAAATAATAAGAGAGAGAAGGAAAAAAAATCGTGTAGATCCTTATCCATAACGTAATTTATGATTTAAAATGGAAAAACTATTGACATTTACTACGATGAATGCAATCAATTAATAGAACAAAAAGAGAACAGAACAAGGAAATAAATTATAAGAAACATTTTATCATAAATTTGTTGTTATTTTTTCTTTTCGTGCTGAATTTTTGGAGATTAAACGGAAGACTGGCATTTGAACCATTGCGACAAAAAAAATTCCCCAGAATATTTTAATTTTAAAGTTCAACATGAAATTTTTTCATAGAGTTTACAACAACAACTCCACATGAAAACAATTTTATGTTGCACTTTAAAATTAAAATATTCTGAGGAAATTTGTTTGTCGCAACGGTTCATTTGAAAGGTTAGTAAATTGACACATCTATCGGATTGAGACATGGCATTTATTTCATTCAGAATTAATGAGCAATGTTTCTTTTTGTCTTCATATAATCTAATTTATTTCGCATTGGGGCATATAACTCATGACATTGTGACGAATCGTGTTATCACTTTTGTTGCGAATCACAGCCAGTGATTAAACCAAATCTTAGTTTCAGCGAAATAATCAGTATTCGTATACTCATGGGAAAGAATTGAATAAATTGATTCTCAGAAAACTAATTCACAAGAAATCATGAATACGATCACGCATTCATATGTACATATTTTATATTCGTCTGACTCATTCCAATTCATTGATGTTAACATTTGGCCGATTTCTTTGGGAACTTTTTATTTTATATTTAATTGAAGGAATCCTTTATTCAAATGAGACTGTGAGAATGAAAATGACAATACAGGAATGAACATTCTGAAACGCATCAAGAAAAAAAATTCGCAAAAATGAATCATGAGTTCTGAATATGCAAAAGTGAAACATGAATTTACATGGGCAGTAGCCCGCTCCAAAAAAAAAAAGTTGCCCCTCATCCAAAAGGCCCGGGCAGTTTCGAAAAATATACCTCAAAAAATAGGTTTTGTCTAAAAAAATCATATGGGTACCCATGGCAAGCCCCATATGAAAATTTTCATGAGGTTTTGTTTGGCTCGTCAATATGTACAACTTTTACCAAGACATCAGCCCTTGAAAAGGCATTCTGGGCCAGTTACAGTGTAAAATGACCGGAAAATGGCAATTTTTCGGCATTTTTTGCTCTACTGGTCCCCCAGGTGGTAAACTTTTGTTCAGTTTTCGACTCGTGTCATGTAGCCAGCAGCCGTATGAACAATTTGGCACTTCTTAGATTGCAATTTGGATGGAATTTAGTGCCGATTGATTTCAGGCCAAAATGAGCAAATCACAAACATGAGCTTCGGTTTGACAGGTAAAAGCAAAAGATTTCTACCCTTTCTGCCATTGAACATCTAGTATGGTTCTTTACGAACATTTTGGGTACTTACATGACCAAATCGAGTGATGTTTTCACATGTTTCTGGCCTCATATTCGATTTCAACTCCCAAAAAATCGACTTTTGACCAAAAAATCCTTAAGTATAGGCTTTTCAGGGATGGTGTCTTGGTGCAATGTTATTTTTTCTCAAAAATATGTGGAGTCTACCCAGACAAAAACTCTCAAAATTGACTTTTTGAGGTACCTCCCGAACAAAATATACGTTTTTCATGGATTTTACTATGAAAATATAAATTTTTGTTCGGATTCCAAATCGCAATCGTACAAGTAAAAAATGTTTTGTACAGGTCCTGGTTACACGACACAAGTCCAAAATTGAACAAAAGTTTACCACCTGGGTGACCAGTAGAGCAAAAAATGCAAAAAATGCCGAACAATTGCCATTTTTTTCGTCATTTTACACTGTAACTGGCCCAGAATGCCTTTTCAAGGGCTGATGTCTTGGTAAAAGTTGTACATATTGACGAGCCAAACAAAACCTCATCATCAGTTTTTGCCGAGAATTGGCTGGAAAAATGATTTAGGTCGAAATGTTGCGATATGAATTGGCTTCCGAAATCGCTGTCATGAAAATTTTCATATGGGGCTTGCCATGGGTTTTTATATGGTACCCATGTGATTTTTTTTAGACAAAACCTATTTTTTTGAGGTATATTTTTCGAAACTGCCCGGGCCTTTTGGATGAGGGGCAACTTTTTTTTTGGAGCAGGCATAGGAGGTTCATGTTTCACTTTTGCGTATTCAGAACTCATGATTCACTTTTGCGATTTTTTTTTTCTTGATGCGCTTCGAATGTTTATTCCTGTATTGCCATTTTCATTCTCACAGCCTCAAATAAACTTAACAAATATTATATCATGGCAACATAGAAATATCTTTGTGGTCTGAAACAATCTGCGTAGAGAGCATTATTTCCTAACTTTTTTTTAAATTCAAACAGGTTTATGGAAAGAAAATTGGTTTGCAAGCTTCAATTGATGGTATACCTTGGCGGCATACTGGGCATGATTGCCCAAATTCGATCAACTGATAGATGCATGGAGAACAGAGAGCGTGATTACAAGGCAGTGTCCTTGGTGATCTAGAGAGCAGATCCTCTTGGCAAATAGCGCACAATGGCACCGTTCCTGTTGGAGCGGTAGGTGCTGATGCCACAGGTGCCGATGCCACCGGTGTTGGAGCAGCTGATGTCGACACCGGCGCTGCTGTTGGTGCTGATCGCGTTGGTGGTGGTTGTTGCGATATTGATGTTGTTGCTCTTCTTTCCAATCTTTCTAATCTTTCTAATCCTGAAGATTGATTCGGAGCAGGTTCATCGTTCAACAGAGCTTCATAGGTTCGAAAAGGAAGTTCTTGTCCACCGTATGGAATATAACAGACGTCATGGCTCGGATGAATTTTCCCAATTGTAAGAGTTCCTTTGTGATGCACACGACCAATGAACAATGGTTCGCCGCCAGACGTTTTTCCACCTACACAATTAAAACTTTAATCAATTTTTCTTGGCTGTTGGGATTTTGTTATTGTTTACCTTGAATGGCATTTGGTGGAATTCGATTTCCCGTAACTTGAACCCAGCGTGGACGACAACCAACTAAAACTTCATAATTTCTGTGCGGATGTTCTAAACCTCCGTAAGCCACATAAGTCACTTTGTGAGACGGAACCAATTTTCCCGGAATCAAATCACCTTCATGACGAGCACGACCCACAAATAAGGGTTCACCTACAATGGGATGAAAATACACGAACAAGAAATTTTCAAATAAAACCGGTTTCTTTGGTTTTTTGGCATTTTTTTCATATGTGTCAAAATAGTCTCTCAGACGTTACCTTCAAGATCTCTACCGCCTTCAACACTTCCATGAGGAACCTGTCCATTTGATGCTGGCACCCATCTTAGTGATCCACCTGGAATATCGTAAAATAAAAAACCGAATATGTACTAAGACGGTATTGAACATGGCAATTCTAGCCAGCAATTTATTCTTCTCTAGCCAGAAAACTTTATGTGTCTTAATGGAAATAATTTCAACTTTCAAGTTTTCTTTATAACTTCTCAACTGCGTTTAATTTTTTTGTCAAAGTTTATTTCTAATTTTTCTCTCTTTCGAAATGTCAACTTACCGATTGGCATTATCAATTGATTTAAATAATGAATGAATTTGGAAATGAAAAGTATTTGTTCTGCTGACGGCAACGATAAACTTTGTGCAGAATGCAATTGACAACTGAAATTTCATGCACCAGTTGCATTGAGTTTCTGAGATAGAGTCAGAGTAGAATGCTGTTTGGATGAATTGTGAATCACTACATAGCAGTGCTGTTTACAAAGGAAAGAGATACACATACAATACGATTAGCGCTTGGTAGCAACTGTCACTGAAGTTTCACATTGACAGTGACCGCACGTGAATGTATGTGCGTTCACGCTGTGTATACACAGTATATGTTCAAGATTCGCAAATACATGGACGGTAGTCGTAGACTATATGCTGCAAATCAGATCCTTGTAATTTTGATTCACCGTGCATGATGGAAACGTTAAATTTAAGCACTACATGATGAAATGAAGAGCCGTTAGATTTGTTTGTGCCTTTTTCTAGTTGCAGTGTGACATTTTTTTTTTTGTTAACATGAAGCTTCTTGTGTTGTAGAAAATTTTCATTACCATCTGAAATAACATGCATAACAAGATACCTATGAATTGAAAAAAAATTGCTATCATCATTTTAAGCGGCCACGTGTTAAGGAGGAGGAGAAAATGAAAAAAAAAACAAGAAGAAAAATTTTTTGTGTAACCTTATCTATGATGTAAATACATCATTAAATAATTGATTTAAAATGAAAAAAATTCCCACTTACTACGATGAATGCAATCAATTAATAGAACAAAGAGAGAACAGAACAAGGAAGAAAATAAAATATAAGAAAAATGTTACCAGTTTTTATTGGCAAACAACTAACTTTATTTTTGTTCTTAATACTACGTAGGTTTAATGAATGGTAAAAGACAGAATGAAAAGAATAAAAGCCAAAGTAAATATAGCAAGTTAGCATAAGTCGCGATTAACTGAAAATTATAGCAAAATAATCAAAACTAAGTTCTTATTAAGTTTAGCAAAAAAAAAACTCTAATTCATCGCTTGAAGCGGTTTGCTTCTCTGTCACTCCGGGACGCATACTGTAATCCCATCACCATAGCACGCTGCATAGCTGATTAAATGTGGAATAGTGTTTTGCTCGTACACTCCGCTGAATAGGTGCGAAAAACATCCTGAAAATGAACACAAATTTTTGTTCATCTTAAATCAAAATTTGTGCTCAGATCAATTTGGTGATTTTCAATTAATAATTCGTCATACCCAAAGCAAAAACACCCACATCGTCACCGCCATGTGTTTCTCTAAGAGTCGGATACGAACCCGGATAAATAGTATTTTTATCTAGCAAAGTGAATTAAAGTTATATAATTAATAGGGAATTTATATAAAAAAAAATTGAATGTTCATCTGTGTCTGTCAGTCACGAGTGTTTGACCACATTTTTACATTCAACTAACTATTTTGTTTGTTATGCGTGCTATTTGACTTCTAGATGCTTGGAATGAGGTTTTCACACAAAAATTTTTTTACCAACAATTTCGAATAAAAATTTTCATTTAATAGACAGATGAACATTCAACTTTGGATAAGCGAGGCGAGACTTTTGGCTAAAAAAAAATTTACCAATTTTAATTTCAGTTATATTCCGCACGCCATTCTGCGTTTGATATATTCCAAAACCAGGCCCGTTGGCATATGATAGCGTTAGAGAAGGTAAATTGTCTGCAAAATTTTCAATTTGAAAAAAAAAATGGTTTCAATTCTCAAAATTCTTACCCATAAAAAAAGAACAGAAGGCAAGCTATGAAGTTGTTTTTTGAAAAAAAAAAGAAGAAACGAATGCATATTTGCATCCAGTATGAATCTGTTATTTACCGACGTCGCTTAACATAGAATTTAATCCAGTAATTGGATTTCCGCGATCCGGATAGCCTGCTATTGTCATGGTGTGTGCATGGTCAGAGGTCACAACAATCAGCGTATTATCGTGATCGGTCATTTCAACGGCTCGTTTGATGGCATTCGAAAATTCCACCGTTTCATCTAATGCCTTGATGACTTGTGCGTTGTGATGACCATGATCGATACGTCCACCTTGAGAATTATTTTTTTTTTTAAATTAAAATTGAGAATTGAAGAGATTTCCCCAATTATTTAATTTATTTTTTTAAGTTATGATTTTCTGCAAATTTCTCTCTACCTTCAACAAAAAGAAAGAATCCATTTTCATCCTTCTGTAATATTTCAATGGCCGCTTCCGTCATTTCCAGCAAACTCGGTTGTTTTGTACGATCGGCATCTAAATTGAAGTCCAAATGACTAGGAGCAAACAGCCCGAGAGCAAAGTCGGTATTTTCGATATCCAAACTGTCGAAATCACGTTTATCGTAAAGGACTTTTGCATTCGGTTTGCCTTTTTTCCACTCTTCAATCAGATCCTTTCCATCTGCACGCTCACCTTCATATCCATCGAAATCGGTTGTTGTTTTCGGCAGAAATTTCGCACGTCCACCACCGAAAACTACTTTAATTTTATCGCCCGGTTTATTGTATACCTATCGAATGAACAATGAGTATTTGGCTTTGAATGTGTTAACGGTTATGTCATTGTTTTGTGTTTATCTTTACCAATTGACTTGCAATGTCTTGGCATTCATTTGGATCCAGTCCTTCGTAAGTAACATCACTGTCGCATTCAAATCCCCGATTTGAAGTGTGTGCATAGTTACCAGCTGGACTGGCATGAGTAACTGTGGTTGTTGTCACAAATCCGGTTGCTTTGCCAGCTCGTTGTGCCAATGCCATCAACGACTGTACTTGATTTACCGTAGTATTGGCAGCCTTGCAATCGTTCAATTCTACTCGACCGTTGCACCCAATTGTTTGGAAATTACCTTTAACTCCGCACAGGTATCTGTCAATTTACATTTTGTAAAATGGATCAATCTGGGTGTGTTGTGTTTCACTTTCCCGCACGTGAAGTGTTTACTTACGCAGTTGCTGTGCACGCCGAATCAGGCACCTGTTTATCAATACAGTAAGTCTGCGGGGAAGCACAGCCGAGAAGGATTAATTAAAAATGCTGTCGTCGTACGGTAACTTACAAATTTACCTTTGATAAGCCAACGTATGGAAATTCTTCAAATGATAAGCGAGTCTCTTCACCTGTTTTTCCTTGTCTTTGACCCAAATACGTTCGTGCAGCCGCTAGCGTCGCTATTGACATTCCGTCACCCAAAAAGAATATAACATTCTTGGCCTTATTCGTATTGTGCTCTCGTGCTTTTCTTAAGTGATTGTGCACTGTGTACTGTGCCCAACTTTCCCAATACAATGAACTCGTCTCGTCATAGTAATCGTCGTGCACATCTGCTGTATGGATTTTGCCTCGTTTTTGTCTCATCGGTATATTTGGATGCATGGAGTGCTCAATTTCTATATGGAATTATTTAAGCCAATGTCATTGATCGTTCAAACAACAAAAGAAAACTTAATCACAATGAAACAGCTCAAATTTTGAATGGCCTACCCGATCGACAATCTGCAAGCCGTCTATCGCAATCGGTTGCGCCGGGATGGCATTGCACATAGCAAAACAACAGTAGCAGCACACACAAAACCATTTTCAAGCAATTTACGTAATACATAATCGACTTTTGTGAACACTTTTTTATGTTCTTAACTAATCTAAATGGATATTTTATTTAAAAATTGCTGCAAATATAAATGGGGGAAAAAATGGGCTGATCACACACGAAAGTTGCCTCGAATATACACATAAATTGCTATTTACTGGACTGAAGGAAACACGTATTAAGTGGAAATAATCAGAATCCGACGAAAAAAAATTAAAGTGCATTTAAATCACTTTTAGTTTTTGGATTCGGCTTTGGATTCGATCAAACTGAATTCTAGCCACATTTCAAGAACTTTATTTTTTTCAATGTTGCTACAATTACGACCAATTTACAACTGAAACTCTTTTCAGCAAATGCTTCTGTATATAGCTGACTAATGTTTGGAATTATTTTTGGCTTTATTCGGTTCCAACAGTTCTGAATGGCAGTTTGATAAAGTTGTGTGCTCAGCCGGAATAACAATCGTTTAAGTGGTTCGTAACGAAGCCCATTCAAAATTGAACGGTATGTTACGCGCTGATAGCGTTAGTTGGTTCTTTTTTTTACCGCGAATTCACCATAAGATTATTTGATCAAATAATTTGTTTTATGCTTGCGCTGAACGTTTTTAAACTGGATTGTATATTGTCGAAAAGAGCAACCGATTGGATTTTTTCCTTTATTGAGGCTTAAAAAACTCATCAAGATTATTTCAGTTATAAAATATCTAAAATTTGATTTAGCAAACTTTTTCTCGACAAAAAAAAACTACAACGAATTCGTTTTATTCTTTTTCAGCGAAAATGAAACCAAGCGCTATTGTCATCATTGCACATTTGATTGGTTTACCTTACAAAACTGTATTTGGATGCTTCCGTTTGAAGTTGAAATGCAAAATAAATAAATAGTCGGTTGATGCTTCTATTAAAGACTGTGTTTATTGTGTGCAATGAAAGACATTCAATTGATATGAACTTCATTCACAACTTCCCAGTATCACAAAAAAAGAGAAGGAAAACACATCAAAGGTCGCAATATATTTTCTGATCACACAAATTGTCAAAAGTGTTTCTTCCGTTATTGTTGGTCCAAACTGCACCATTGCCATGGTTCAATCTATTTATGTGCGATAATTTACAACAGATTAACATTGGAAAAAATTTGATTTGATCTAATTCTAACTTTATATTTGAGGGCCTGAGAGTGAAAGTGACCAACAAAAAGTTGAGCGTAAAAGTGACCTAACTCCATACAAAACAGCGTGACGGTAGCATGTGTTTTGTATGTAGTTAGGTCACTTTTACGCTCAACTTTTTGTTGATCACTTTCACTCTCAGGCCCACATTTCTGTTTTAGGAAATACAATTTTATTTTATTAATCAGTCATAGGCTGTTTTCGGCACAAACAAAAATCAAACGATTATTAATTTTTACGGCAATAATGAGTCATATCATCCGTGACCACTACATTGATTCTCCTTATCTTAGGTTTCGTCATACCGACATAAGTGATTTAAATTGAACGGAAGCGAAATTGGTTCACCGATTGTGTAAACGTGCAATGGTGCGGTCAGATGAACGATGTACTGGATATCTTGAATCGTTGGATATTTGGTGTATTTTACAATTCGAAGACCATCTGAAGATGTAGCGTATGGATCTGTTGTCAATTTTATACTTATGATTTTCGAACCTTCATATAACCTAGAAATTACATTGTCAATTAATGAACAATTGTTTCAATCAATTCGAATTGAAATAAATTATTAATTTAATATTAAAGAAAATGAAAAAAAAGTTATAAAAGAACCAAAAATAGTTTAAAAAATTTAAGTACTTTTGAATATTGTCCGCTTGTTCATTTGTGATGATTATATCGGCTTCTTCGGGATTTGTGGTGAAATAATGTAAAATTTGTTGCCTTTGAAATATTTGAGAACGGTTCAAATCGAGACACACTCTTATACCTTTCTGCGTCAAATCGAATAGTAGATCTTCATAGCCGAAATCATCAATCAACATATGAAATGAGTAATCGTTCGTTGATCTAAAATATTCAAGCATTTTTTAAAGATTAAAAATCAACATTTTGAGATATGATGGAAATTATTGTTTTGACAAGATGAATATTTAAATTAAGGATCATAAAAATATCTTATTAATACTAAGAGGCTGTTTTCTATTACTTCCACACCTTCAAAGATATATTGCCATCGAAATTCATTCACTTCTCATCAAGATTTTTCATTGGTCAGTCAAGAACTCACCTAACTATTGACTCAATCTCACCGACAGCTTTCCTCCGCAAATTGATGTCGCGAACATCGGCTGACGTTACATCAATATACAGATCATCAATTTGTTTCTGTGCCATTAACTTTCGCAAGAACATGTGGTTCAAAATTTCACTGTTGCCACTGAATTGTCCAGCATACAATGTGTATCGATCGCAATCTAATTGACGGAAAACCAAAGTAGCCAACTAAGTAAGCAAAATAAGGAAATCGTATGTTAATTTAGTATTGAAAATGAAGTCGCATATTACATTCAAACAAAATGACAATGTTCAGTGTTTTGCTTCCATATGAAAATGCTTTGATGATGACGGTCTCTTTGTTTGGTAGCTCAATGCTGTAATGCAATCCACAATCGCTGATTATCTTTATGCTTTCTCGTACCTAAAATAATATTGGACAGTTTTTACTTTGATTCAATTTCAATTTTCATTCGTGGATATTGAATGCGGTTAGGTATTGGGAGTATACATTGGAATCGTCATCACAGATCATAATCGATTTAAGAAAAGCAGTCGTGTAAATGCTGAGTGAATCTCGAGGCTTCACAGAAGTCAGATCAAATGGACGAGTGTAAATATGCACAGCGGGCTCCTGAAACCAAAGAGACAAAATATTTTCGATTATTTGTTATTTCGTCTCAATTTCAAATTATCACAAAACTCACATCCGAATTATCAGTTGGGAGTTGATCCACAAACACGTAACCATCGAACATTTTTTTTAAATTCTCAAATTCAAACCCGACAGCTTCTAGTCTATGAACAACTGTCAAAACAATAACATTGTTCGAACTCTCTTTTGCCGCTATGTGTATAAACAATATACTTGATGGTTAGTAAAGCGCACAACTTCACGTTCGTTTGCCATTCAAAAAATAATAAACAAAATTGCTTCGATGAATACGTTTGAATGTTTGTTGGTTTAGGTTTATATGAAATGAATGACAATTTCATGCATGTTTGTAATAAAAATCAAATGTCAATTTGCATATAAAAATATCGCATGAATCATTTGGAAATTTAACGGCTTTACAAATTGAAGATGTCAATTGAATAATTGCAAAGAGAAGATCAAGGCAGAAAACGGAAAAAAACCATTTTACAGAGTATCTAAAATCCGAAAAATCAAGACTTTCATTATAAAGAAACCAACGACGAACCAGCAACATTACTAACGAGTCGTTGCGTCTAGCCATAATTAAACTCGATTGACAATTGGATTGGATGAGTGTGCGTGACAATTAAATGGCAATCGGAAGGGTGTGTGTGTGTATATGTGTGTATGGAGGTTTCCATGGCACTTGAATATGTGTTAACATATACACGCATTGAAATACAATGAAAGTGAGATCGTTGGTTGAATCATAACAATAACGCACCTGTGTTCAATGGAACTATACTCGTACACACATTCAATTTAAATATGTAAGCTTGTGAGTTTCTTGTCAAATCGAAACTATCGCTAATCATTATTTAAATTTTTTTTATTCGATTTCTTAGTCATTTGGAAGGCAATTGTGGCCGGATATTTTTGTGAATACGAAAAAAATTGGTAAAGCGATTTTGTTTGCATCGATCAAGAATTTGGTGAATTTTAAGTGACATTATAGCTGGTGACGAGGTTAACACGCCCATTCAAACGACAAAATAATTCCCGAAGAAATCCGTCCAACATGAGAAATTACACGATAGTTAGCGCCGTTTTATTCTGCAGCTTCATAAAAATTGGTAGGTTTTTGTTTCACATTTCCAGTAATTAACTTAAATTTTCAGTTTCAGCTAAGTGATAGCACCGAAAAAGAGTTAAATTCAAATGAGTGTTGCCGCTGCTAATTGGATTGATCCCAGTAAATTTATAATTTTGTTTAAATTTTTTTGTTTATTTTATTTTCTTCTTGGGCTTTGTTTTCCATTTGTGTTGCAAATTTGAATTCATAACCAATGCAGCAACTTCGATTAGTTGTTATGTTTGCAATGCCACCGATTCGACATCGCCGTTCCAGTGTGGCGAATGGTTTGAACGCTACGATACACCCGACATTGTGCCACAAGATTGCTCAAATGTGTACGGCGCCAAATATTGCGTAAAGCATATCGGTCGCTTTGAAGGTAAATGCCCACTGAACCGAATCGTTTGATCGATTCGATCTTCTTGAAAGCCTGGGAATATTTTGGAATCTAGGCTTTATTACTTCATCTAACTGGGCATAATGAATCTACTTCATCTCTATGTTGCAAACATTTCTCATATACTGGTCACTTTCACCTATCAAACTTTCATTGCTTTCTTCGGTCGGTGGCTCATTTTATGGATCTAACTGTGATGGAAATGATTTAACTAACCACATAAATTTACAAAATTTTGCTAAAAAATTAAAAATTAAGAGGGGAAAACAGATTGAGAAATCATAATTTGTATCATAAACAATTTTTTTACAGCTAACCAATTAACATTTTAACAATAACTAACCTCAAATTTGAACCATATAACTCTTTCTGATTCTGTAGCCATTTCGATAAAATGCTATCAATGCTCATCGGCTGATACAATAAACTGTGGTGATTTGATGATTGCTCAGCCCGATTCACCGCTGCAACCCGAAGATTGTTCACATGTGATTGATGCGAAATATTGTGTCAAATCAACCGCACTCAATGGTTAACCAATCAATTTCCTTCATGTGTCGATCGCTTTTTTGTCGCAATTGTTTTTTTTTTCTTTTTTGGTCGCTTATATTTCTGTTCGGTTCTCTTTCATTATTTTTGATCAATTCCGATTAATCGGCTTGATTTTATTGCAGAGTTTGTATCAATTCGGATTGTATTGAGTTATCATCTTCATTTTTCGCTTCATTTTTGTTCGCTGTATATGTTACATATAAAATTATCAAGTGCACTGTTAATTTGATAGCGCTTCTTTGTGAAAAGTAGATATACTAATGATATCATTTATTTGCTGATTGGGTTTCATGTTTGCTCTCACACAAATTCCCTCATTTAAATAAATATCTAATTGGAAATTCTGTGTGTATTCGAAAGGTGGCATTGGCGCTAAGCGGTTCTGTTCATCCAAGGACTTGGGCAATTATTGCAATTATGTCGAGAATAAGGGTGATCGAATGGAGTATCGCTCGTGCATTTTCACCTGTGACACAGACGGATGCAATCACTCAAATCATATTACCTTGAATCGAATTGTGTTCGGTGCCTTCCTGACTATTTTCTTCACCATCATCAAACTGTTTACATAAACCAACACATTTTTACGAAGAGTCTCAATTAAAAAAAAAAAAGAAAAGTTACTTTTATCTGTAGATTTTTAGTAAAATCCGTCCATTTACACATTTTGTGGGAAAGTTTCGTGTGAGTAAAAAAGAGATGAACTTTTTTTTTGTCGTGTCTATTTTGTAAAAGTCAATATTTTTACCACTTTCGAAAAGTTTTATTACAATGTAGAAAGTAAGTTATGACAATCAATAAATGCAAGCAAATTTTTTTTTTGTTTTGTATGTAAGAAAGGAAGATGTTTTTGTTTTAATTAAGATTTTTATGTGCAGCCCATTCCGACCAAGAGCCTTGATACACCCGACTGTTGTCGAATCCTAGCGTTTTTGCCACTTCGGCCGCTTTTGCCGCACGACCACCGAGACGACACGAAAATATGATTTCCGTTTCATTTTCCGGTTTATCACGACCAAAACGCGTCTTAAATTCGTCGCCTGGTAATTTTAACGTTTCTTCCAATGTACCCACTGCATCGAGAAAAAAAAGAGAGCGAAAAAAAGCAGAACGCCATTAATTATTACACTGTCACAAATTGGAAAATATAAACAAATCGAGTCAATCAAGATGCCAATGATACAAATTTGACCGATTACTGCCATTGTCACATTTCTCAATCTCTCTAACACAATCTATACACAATGGCGTCGTTTACAACCTGCAATTATCATTAGAAACAACAGAGTATCTAATAGGTGTTCAACTTACACGGAATGTTAATGCTGGTTGGAATTAGTCCAGTGCTTTTGATTTCGGGTGGATCACGAACGTCAATCAATAGCACCTCTGGACGATTTGGTAAATTTTCAATTTCTTCGGTCGTTGCAATGCTCATCTTGAATGTTGACTTTGTATTCTTTTTCCTTCACACTCGACCTATCGCGTAGTTTTCCGCTCACTTTCGCTGTGATAACCGTAGAAATCTATTTGTCAATTTCGACTGTGTCATAAAATGCTAGTGTTTTGTTTTCTCAAGCCGATCGCATGAGCTATGCGATACACACGCATACAGTAACACAAAACTCACATCCACAGCGGACGCTTGGAATTAGCGTCGCGTTTGTATTGTATTATATGATGATTTGTTTGGTGGTTATGTATACGTGTAGACAAGTCACTGTAGTGTACTGTGCTGCCAAGCATTGGATGTAGCGTAAGTGAATCGTACTTTGTATACACATCAAAAGTCATAAAAAATGGTAATTTATTTTATGGCAATTACCATTTACCATTCAAATTTGCACCTGAGTGTCAGGTTCGTTCGTTTGGTCGTTCATTTGTCCATCCACCACTGAGTCGCCTTTATAAATTACATGCAATTTATATTATGTATTATGGAAATAAAACACATGCTAGCGGATCTTTTTTTTTCTGGCTGAAGCAATTGAATGCATTTTTTTATTTAATTTGGTTCAATATTTGAAGCAATTTAAAAACAAAATAAACCATTGAATGTTTGCGCCACAAAGAAAATTACTTATAATTGTTTTTTTTTTTTTTTGTATGAATTTTTGAAAGTATTTTTTTTTTAAATGCAAACATACCAACCACCATGATTGGGTCTGTGTATGTGTGGTGCGTGTGTGTGTGTGTTTGGTGTGTAAAAGAGACAATTTTGGCTTACAAAAGAATTTTCACTAAAAAAATTGTTTCCTATGATTTGCATGACGCTAATAATAATAAATTCTTGAATTAGCAAAAATAATGTTCTAAAATATTTATTTGGCCTTATTGATTTACGCTATTCTCTCTGTTTATGCTTTTTTTTCTTCTTTCAATTATTTTCAATATTCGATCTCTTTAGGAAAACGTCTTGTTTGTTCGTTCATTTTGATTTTGGTTCCACACTTAAACGCCTCAAAGTTTCAAATCATTTTGGTTGAAAATAAAAGTAAAAAAAAAACACGTATATTCAAACAAATAAGTTGTTCGTAGACCCAGGACAACATATCGCGTTCAATACACACAGAGAGTTCGTCAATCGAAATACAGTAATATTTAAAAGAAGAGAGAGATTTACATAAAGAGACGAACAAAAATCGGTTTATCACAATTACATAGAAATATATGAAAAAAATTGCAAAATGCGATTAATGTATTTTCTCTTTAAATCTCTAGTAAACAAACACTTTGATTGCAATTTAAAAAAAACTCACGCACATCGATTTTACCATCAAAAGCACTTTTTTGTTTCGATATTTTTGTTTTAAATTTTTAATAAAGCCAATTTGAGCAAATTGTTTAGATAAGCCAATGCACTGCTTCGTTTTTCTTCTGTTTTGTGTGTGTTGTTGGCATTTTTTTGTATAAAATTTTTAAAAAAACATTCGGTTTTGTATGAAAATGTCGTGCATCCTAAACAAAAATCGACGCCAAACCACATCGAGGCAAACATTGCAAACAGGAGGAGGGTGAATATTAGCAAGGACATTTTTGTTTGTTCATAAATACACCACTTACAGCTAAAACATCTATCAAAGCCCAATTACAATTGTTTCATTTACTAAATGTACTCATGTTCATAGCTTTAAAGCGTGTCTCATTCTATTTCTTGCTTACTTTTTCTGTCTTTTTATATTCGACATTGGTACTTATTCAGAAAAAAAACGAAGAAAAAAAATCATATTTATAAAGATTGCAGCCATATAATAAACATTCTTACATACACGTTACACATGTTTAGGTTGTCATTATTTTTTGTTTGTTCTTGGAATCAAGCTGACTAAAAATTGGTTTCGATAAATTAACTTATACGCATAAAATACAATTGGAAATACACAGCGGGAAGAAGGGTGGGGGGAGGCGTTTTGGAAATATAATTCAATTAAAAAAAAAACTGGATGCACTTGCACTTGCTGTCTGAGAACCATTTCATCATTCTGGATCAATTTAACTCGCTAGCAATTGCAAGCGTTTCACTTCAATCTCTAGTTCTTCGCGTCGCTTCTCCGAATTGGCCAATTGATTTTTCAAATTTTTTATCTCCTCGTTTTGGCGAGTGTAGGCCTTTCGGAGCTGAAAATGTAAGAAAAAAAATTATTATAGAATAAAAATGATGAATTTTACTTTGACTATGAGAGTTAAAGTGCTATAAATTGGATTTTTCGGTAGTTTTACCTCATTTTCCGTGAAATTCAGATTTTCGGACGAACCGTTGGGCGTTCCATTCTTTGGTGTGGTCATCAAGCTGTTTTGAATATTGGCTATGTCTTTGATTGTTGCACCTTGGTGTCCGAATATCGCCTGCAGCTGATGGAATTTCGTGCTTTGATTTGTTGATGTCTTTTGACTTTTTTCTATCAGCTGCACAAACAAACACAAAAAGATTAAGTTATAAAATAAACCGGTCATATTCAATTACTTGTGTTACAAGGGGCTTATTTTTCATCACAAGTTAATTCATACAAATTAACTCGCGAGTCCTAGTACAGCGTATTCATAGCAAATTTACGAATCATCGCGAGTCAGTCGAATTTTTATTTCGAAGATACAGTGATTCATAAACTCACATGAATGACTCGCACAGTTGTCTACATTTGTCGTATTGACTCGTGATGTTTCGCATGACACATAAGCCCCTTGACTTGTTATTGTTATCAGTCAACACACCTGTTGCGAGCGATAGTCGGGTATTGTTTGTTGTGCCAAAAACGCGAATTTCTTTGAATTATTATTATCACAAGTGTGCAATTTGTTATCGTTGTCTTTGTGCTTAGTTAACCCGTTCATATTGCTTTTGATATTCAGATTATAATTCGAGTCGACGATTTTTTCGAATTTACGTTCGATCGCAGTCGGTTGTTCGTTAATTTGATGCTTATTTTGTTGTTGCTGTTGCTGTTGTTGATGATGATGATGGTTTTGTTCTCGTTGCTGCTGCTGTTGCTCGTTTTGCTTATACTTTGCGTTTGTGATATCGTTTACCATTTTCGGTTGTTTGTTCACCATTGACATCATAATCGGTTGCATATTACGTCCCTTGAACCAATCCTTTGCCAATATTGCTGGTATATTGGCCGCGGTGTCTGGATACAAATCATCTAATATCGAAAACACCGTGAAGAACCCATTAGTTTCATATCGATTTTCTTTTTTCAAATCATTTCGTCAAAATCACTTACTCTGGAACATTGTCGATCGCCGTGGGACAATCATAGCGATTGGCTCGCATATACTTCCAGCAGCATGAAGCTTATAAAATCGGAATATTTCACAGATTTGCGTATTCAAACCACGTTTCGGCATGAAACCAAGCGCTTTCTGTGACAGAATGAACGAGAAAGAAAAAAATTCAACCATAGATCAAATTTCATAGACCGACACAAATGCGGTTTGGTTTCACACTTACCTGCGGATGACCCGATAAAAATTGATTTAAATAGTGAATGTAGGGGGCTTCATCGACAATTTCATAGTAACGAATACTTCCATCTCCCTTTCCGGCCAAATAGAGCTGTGAATTGAAATAACACACCATTAAATTCGAAATTCGAACTTATTTTGTCCAACATCTCAGAATTAACACGCGATTTACTACTCACCATTCGTGTATCGTAGTCAAAATACGGAGTCACAACACCACTTGAGCTATCCATTACTTCTTGGTGTAGTGGATTTTTCAAATCATGTTGATCCCAAATCGAGTATTGTCGGTCGGAGTGTCGCGAGAATCCGGTTGTTACCACCTTTCCGTTGTCTAAAAATGCCACCTTCGAACACTTGGTGCCCATGTGACACACACCTTCCTGTAAATATCCAATTGGAATGCGAGAATAATCAATGTTTATTTTCAACAAATGGAATACTCATTTCAATTTGTTTTTTTTTCTTTTCATTATTATTTCATTAAATGTTTATAAATAAACTTGAGACATTTTTCCAATTAAAAATTCTTGATAACGCCGAGAACAACACATACCGAAATAACGATTGCGGTTCGCGGTTCAATAACACGTAATTTTTTGTCTTTGGAGGTGGTTGCAATGTAGGAGCCATCGCGATTTACAGCCAACGAATAAATCATATCCACGTGACAGTCGATGGTTTGCATGATTTCTTGTGTTGATACATCCCAAACGAGCACCTGTCAAAACACATTAAAAGGATTTCATTCAATCAAAAATGCTGTTCTCTCTATCTCTCTTTGTAGACGAGAATCGTTATCGATTTCAATTGGCCGCAATTTTAAAAATGCACCCTTTAAATTACCGAGTAATTCAAGCACGATTACTTACAGTATGGTCGAAACCAGCACTGAACATCACATTACTGGCAGTTGGATGCCATTCGATGTGCAGAACCTTTCGTCTGTGACCCAAGAGTTCCGATTCAAAGATGTCAAGATTCGATGTTAAACCCTCTTCAGGGATGCGCCAGATTTTGATCTAATGAGAAAAAATAAATTGGTGCCATGATGATGTTTTGATATTGAAATTATTTTTGATGCTTTAAATTTGAAAAAAAAGGATCTGTTTTTTACCAAAACTTATTTTAACAAAAAAAAAAGATCGAAAAAAGAAAGAATTCAAAACATACGGTACAATCATCCGAAGCTGATGCAATGATACAATCGTTGAAGGGATTCCATTTCAAATCTAAGATCTGTCCGGAATGGCCGATAACTTTATTGCACTGGAAATCGATGCGGCCAGTCTGTGAGATGGGAATGACGACAAAGGCATAGTCAACGACAATAGCTAAAAATAATGGGTTCACTGCACACAAATTGCCATCGTTTCCGCTTCGAACCACACTGTAAACGATAGATGAAATGAAAATGTTTGCTTAAAATTCTGGAAATTTGACTTATAACCCGCAAACGGTTTATTTTGAGAAGAAAAGTAATATTTACCTTATATCTGTGTAACTATTTTCCTTTCGCGATGGTGCTCCGTACACATGTCGAAACTTTGATGCGCGCACTCCACGAAACCATAGCTGCGAAGAACGAGATTTACAGTTTGAAAATAAATGGAAGAAGAAGCAAGAAGAGAATAGGGAAAAAAATCACAAAAAAATTTGCGGTTTGATTTATTCCCATCGAAATTTATGCACATGTTCATGAATAACAAAAATCAGTATACAGAAAATGAAGGAACAAAACAGTCAAACGCAACGAAATAAAATAATGAGGAAAGTAAACAAATTGACAAGCAATAAAAATGAATCAATAAATTCGTTAAAAAAAAAAAAAAATTCATGAGCATTACCTGTGAGTTCGTCATTGTTGTGTCTTTGCTTAAAATACTGTACAATTCGTTGATTTGCTAGGTTTTATTTGTATGTTTGTTTTCGTGATTGTCAATATGAAATGGATTATTATTTTTCCGAAAAAGCGCGAAATGGAGAGAGAAAAAATGAAACGTTTTATTTACTGAACAGGGCCAATGTGGAATAAAATAATGTTTGGTTCTTTATTCGTCATCAAATTTTGGTTTTAGCACGTTTCGTTATTGTGATATTTATATGTGCGATTAGAAAATCCTTGGTGGTGCACGGTTTATTTGTTTTTTATTTTTTTAATTTCGTGTTCGCTTTTACTTTTTTTTTCTCTTATATTCTCGACAAATCAATTAAGCGCTCAATTTAGACAATTCAACGAAAGCCAAGCTTTTAAACCGCTACGATATTCTAAGGCAGGTATGCAAGAAGAGAAAAAAAAATACAAAAAACAATAAAAATGAAGGAAAAACATGAAAATAAATAACACACAAAAAAATAATAGGTTTTAGATAGTAAAGTTAACAGATAATAAACGGAAGAAATTAAATTGTAAGTGGAACAAAGTGCAGTCGTCGTAAATATGGCCTTTTTTCGTTTTATTGACCGTGCTGCACATTTTAAAGCACACTTTGAAGAACGCAAAAAAGTAAATAGATACACACCAACAGCAAACAAACAGGCAAACAATCAATAACAATTTAATTGTAAACAAGCAAAAAACGACGACGACGACGACAACAACTAATAAAATTGAAAACGAACCATAACTCTCACACCCACTTATCTGCGTGTAATAGGGCAATGGATAACTCAAACAAGAATATGAACTACCTTTGGTGCGAAAGTCGAACATCGGGTTGCGAACGCGCACTCATTCGATTGAGTACGAGCGTCGCATTTGCGATTAGCACACATTCCGAGCGGTATTCAGCACTCGGTCACATATCGACACATACCTCCCAAAAAAAAACTGCACAATCAAGTCGAACCGTTGATTATCTCGATAATCAATAAAATACTACATTTAAACATATTTTCACCGTTGTTTCATCGTTGGCCGGACGACGTCATTTTCGTAACCGTTTTATTTTTATTATTATTTTTTTGTGAGTTCGAAATGGTTAGTGGTTATGGAAAAGAAATATTGCCATTTGCTTTTATCTATCTGAGTCAATGGAGTGTATTGACATGCGGCTCGCAATGGAATTGGATCTCGGTAAGCAGCGCTTATCACAGGTCTTGATTTCCAATTGGTTTTCGAGACAGAGCGAGAGAGGAGCGAGAGAGAAAGAGAGAGAGAGAGAGAGGGAGAAAACAGCATCCAGCACAAAAAATCGCGACCAAAACGAGTTAGTCTACCTGTGCCATCTCATTTTGCCAGATCATAACGCCCATTCATTTGGTGCAATCTGTCTCTCTTTGTCATTCGTTCAGTTGGTAATGAAAGTTGGATGTTGTGCGGCAATTATCCCAATTTCTCTATTAAAATATTATTGCAGATAAACATCAACGTTAACCGGTGTGCGTAATGATCATTGCTGAAATGATCTAGGGAAAAGTGAAATAAAACGATAGAAGAGAGATGAAGAGGAATCGAGAGAAGAAGAAGAAAAATGTACCAAATCAAGTTGAGCATTACTTGTTTCTGCCTCTAATCTCTCTTAATGCGAACACATTGTGCAGAGAAAAACAAATGTCTGGTGCCAAACAGCAGACGACAACAGCAACATGCTGGACAAGAGCTAATTGAGCTTCTAAAACGGTGGATTGAATATATCTAGAGAGTGATGAAAATGACGAAGGCGAACACAAAATGGAGAGAGAGAGAGAGAGAGAGAGCAAAAACCAACCAATCTGATTCTGGCCGAGAAAATAAAATGCACATTGCAAATGAATACGAATCGTGTGGATGGGCTCAGATCAGCGACTTAACACCGCAGACTGCTGCTGTTACTTTTAACATGTGCGATGAAGCAAAATGATATTGAAATATTCAAGCAAATCAAATAGAATTCCAATTTTAACATTCCGATTACGCTGTGGCCTAAACCAACATTCACGCATCATGTAAATCGTAAATGTAGTGAATGGTGACACTACTAATCGTGTTCAATTAGACTGTCATTACGATCAATTAATGTGCAAGCATGCTGTGCTGTGTATATTTTGTTACTGCACGTACGCAATCGTCGTTCGTTCGCTGGGATGTGGTGAGCTCCATTTGATCATCACCTTGTTGCATTTTACCAAATGTGTGATATCATATTAACACACTTTGTAACGGGTTGACCGTTGCTCTCTGCTGGCTTTGATTTGACAGTGGAATGCTCAAGTTCAAATGGCCAATCGTCAATCGCCGCTTCGCTTCGAATCGAATGCTAAGGCAAAGAAGCGTCAATGAATGGCTTCACAACATTTCAAATCGAATTTGAATACAATTTTCAAAGAACACTACTCTTTTATATTGCAATCAATTCATATGAATTACGTTTACTTTATCATATAGAATCTGGTTTCTGCTGTTTTCCTCATTTCAATGTGTGTACTACTGTGAATGAATGACTGAATATAGAAGAAAAAAAAAGAATGCACGAGCAGAAAAATATCGGTTAGTTAACCAAGGGATTTATGGCTTGGACGTGACCAACTTTAATTGATTGTGAAACTGATAGTTCTGTCGTTGTGTGTGATTTTTTTTTTTTTGTTCGCATTTAATTTAATTCTATTATTCACATTCGGTTTGGAACGGGCTTCGCTCATCATTAATGCATATTCATTACAATCGATTGATTCAACCTCAAGCCAAAATGCAATCATCGGGGTTCGATGATGCGTTTGATTTTTCGTCGGTATTGCCACTTCGTGTAAGATTGTAAACACTGGATTATATATATTCCAGTATGGATATATTAAAGCGTACATTTTTTTTCCGTTTTATTTTAATTACTTCAAGCCGTTTGTTGTGAGAACGGCAAATCAAACTCGATTGGCAATTCAGAGACTTATTCAAGGATGTTGCATGTTCGACGATGACGACAACGACAACGACGACGACGCTCATACACATAGCTTGCACCATTGCTAGGCGCACTCGTTGCAATTTGCTCACACGGAATCAGTTTTTCGTTTTCGCGTATTACGAGACGATACAACGAAAATCTATTTTTACCCACTAACGATAGCATTATATGAGCAATAGTTCGCAGACGTTCGTCTTTTTTTCTCTTGTTTTTTTTCGGTATCATCTCTTCATTTGTGCAGCATGTGTTTTCTTTGGTAACGAACCTTTTTCTTGTTTTATGCTGCTGTTACTGTTGTTGTTATCTTTGGAATTGTACGGTTGATTATTCGTCATCGCCTTTGTTCGAGCAACACATTTTCTTGTTGCTTGCTGAGATTTCTGTTTGCATGAAAGTTAATTGCTTCTTTTCGTTTTCATTTTCATTTTGGGGGGTTTCTATCTTTTCTGCGTGTTTTTTTCTCTCGATCTTTTATGATTTGTGTTTTGTTGCTGTTGTTGCTGTTGTTGTTGTTGGTCGGATTTATGTGCACTACCGCTTCGGTTTATTTGTTTGTTCTCTACTCTGCCATAATCAGAATTCTCATGTAATTTTTAACGGTTGAATTACGGTACATCTCGCACATGTAATTCAATTTATTACCGCCAATTGCACATTTCTCTTTCAATTCAGTTCAGATTGAAGTGTGTCATCGACATTTTGCATCGACGACATGAGCATAAAATAGGAAAAGAAACAAAACATGTCGGCTACGCGACAATAACAGTAACAACCAGCAATTGACAAAAACAACAAAAACAGGCGACGGTGGCAGCAGCAGCCGCAGCAGCGGCCCAATAGACATTTACGCCATACAGTTTGTTATAGTAATAACAATAATATGAAATGATAATGGAATTGCAAACTCTATCGGACAAAGCAATCGTGAAAATTGTAATTGCCAGCGATGTTTTTTATGGTGTCACACACACTCTCTCTCTGTGTGTGTTTGTGCTCAGTGTTCACTCTCTCGGTGACATAATTCCAATTAAAAACGTTGTCAACCGATATGAAACCGTCAAAATGATTCAATAAGTTATGACCATTTTGTTGTACAAAGTGTACACGTTTCAACATCTATGAATATCAATTGGAATGAAACAATAACAGTTGCGCCGCTGCTGCTGCTGCCACAGCGAAAATGGCCCCCAGAAACATTCAGTCAATTTTGATATAAACTTATTGTAAGTTTGATATCTTGTAAGCGAATCAGTTGATTTTTACAACAAAATTCGTCTATGCTTGTGTTCTGTCGAATGTTTTTTCTTGCTGGCCATTCTTTTTTTTCCCTCTTGATTTTATTGCAGTTTCACATTTTATTACAATTTGCAGACACCAACGGCGAAAAAACAGGAGTAGCACAAATAACACAAGCAGCAGCAGCAGCAGCAGCAGCAGCAGCAACGTAGACAAAAAAGAGAATCATTCACGCTTATTGGACTCGAACGAAAGAACGACGATGTGTTGTTTCTCTCGGCCTATGCTAAGTTTTTGAGCTAAAGAGGTTCTGCAACACCACGTATATACAATCGCAATGCTTGAGCTAGCCCAGTGTAGAAGTACGACTAATTTTAGTGAAAAAATTGCTCTCTTGTTCGTTTCATTTTATTTGTCTTATTCGTCTTGATATGCATGCTCATTTTATTTTCGGACGGTACATTTTTTTTGTCAATTAAAAGCATTGTGTCTGATTTCATTCGTTGTTTTTTTCTTCTGTGTGTTCATATGTTTCGTCTTAAGTGACGTATGAAATTGTGCATGCGAGCTTAAGAGATGATGAATACGTTCGACCCACGTTATCTTACATTAATCACATTTAAAAGAAATTAAAATGATTTCTTTTTCTCAGTTTTACAGTTCTCAGAAGCATCGAACACATCATGCAGGCCTATAAGAATGGGTGATTTCATTTGCTATATACATATATGTAAATGTTGCAATCACTTAAGCGGTGATAACATTATAATGCACAATCTATTTTACAA